CTGCAGACCAGCCTCTACTCTGTCTTGGTGCTAGGTCTTAACCCATGTCTCAGTGCTGCTCTCTTGGGAGGTTTCCTCTCCACATCCCAGGCCTGGGGTGTGCCTAAAGCCTGTGAATACCAGGAAGCCCCGGAGACCCAGTCTCTGGCTGGCACCCCACACGCGTGGCTGATCTGGGGGAACAGAAGTGACAGTGCCATAGGCAGTCCAAGACCGCGCTCATCCAGGGGCCCTAGCCAGGTCTGCGTGCCTGTGCGTGTGTGCGTGCGTGTGCGTGCTGCACTAACCTGCCGCTTGCTGACTGAGGTTTTTGTCTGTACACAGGCGAGTGAGCTCAGGGGGCCGCCTGCGCTCCCCCCCGCTACCCTCCGAGCTGCGCCCCTGTCTCAGGCACCTCGGACCTCGCTGTGTTTCACTGCCTCCTGCCCACAGACCCAGCCGGCCCACCGGCCCGGACCCCATCCCAGCCTCCCGTCCCCTTCCCATCCCTCGAAGCCCCTGGGAAAACCCATGGGGCCCCCTCACATGGACCCTCCCACCCCAAGTGGACATATGGCTGGGCAGGCCAGGAGGCCCCCAGAAGGACTGAGTGTGGGGAAGGGGCAGCCAGGAGGGATAACAAGACCCCCCAGCCCCTCCCCCCAGGGGAGCACCGAGCGAGCGCATGTGCTACCGCTGCTACAGGCCACTGTCTGTCTATCCGTTTGTCTGTCTGTGCGTCTGTGACAGTCAGGGAAGGATCCCTCAGAGACAGCCCATAGGAGAGATGGGGACAGGGGCAGGCTGTGTGTCTGTAGGATGGGAGATTCCAGAGGGGCTCCCAGCAGGGGGGCAGGACACTGCTACTTGAAGAAGAGAGCAGGGTCACTGAACATTCCAGAAGAGCGAGCAGGCTGCTGACCGCTCCAGAAGCAGGTTTCAAATGGCACAACAAGACATCAAAATCGAGAGGCCCCGGACCGACCCTGGGCTGCCTGAGGCCCCGTGGGTCCTGGCACGTTCCACGCATGTGTTGGGCTCCTGGCTCTCCGTTAGGACTAGCGAGGCTCCATCTGGACTGGAGAGGGTGGCCAGATTGGTTCGGGGTGCGGGCACTGCCGGAGTGGGTATGGGGATATTTGGAAACCCCTATTTTTAGCTCAAATAAAGTCCAATTTGTATCCAGCCGGTGTACTGTGTGTTTCCCCCTTGCCCCTGCCGCCGCCGTCTCTGCCACCCTGTGGCTCTTTAAAGCCTCCGCCCCACCTCAGTTCGCTCTCCTCTCCCAGGAGTTTGTTTCCTTGGTCCAGTGGGGGTGACCATCTTGACACCAGGCCCGGGAGCCCCTTGCTGTCCTGGCCAGAAGGGCAGGCTTTCCCTGTCTCCAGGGGAACAAAACGCATCTCTCTCTCTGTGTCTGTCTCTCTGTGTGCATGTGTGTCTCCCTTGCCCTGTGTGTCTCTGCTCTGTGTGTGCCACCCGTGGCCCTTCTCCCCCCAGCACACCCTGAAAGCCGGTCCCTGGCCGTGCTGGCCCCCCTGCAGGACGTGGACGTGGGGGCTGGGGAGATGGTGCTGTTTGAGTGCCTGGTGGCAGGCCCCGCCGACGTGGAGGTGGACTGGCTGTGCCGTGGTCGCCTGCTGCAGCCCGCGCTGCTCAAATGCAAGATGCATTTTGACGGCCGGAAGTGCAAGCTGCTACTCACCTCGGTGCATGAGGACGACAGTGGCGTCTACACCTGCAAGCTGAGCACGGCCAAAGGTAACTGCCCACCAGGCTGCTGTGAGAGAGGGACCTGGGTGTGGGAAACTACCCCATCTCCTGGGGGACACGCAGAGAGGGGGAGATGGTGCAGTCCACCCAACTGTGCAAGAGAAAATTAATCTGTGGAAAGCATGCGGTCTGTGGCACAAAATGGTCAAATGTTCAATTACTTGCCAGAAAGTTCACAGTTTGAAGGCACTGGGGCTCCTTGGAATACAAGTCTAGAAACCTGCTTCTGAAAAGGTCCCAGCCTGGGAAACCCCGTGCAGCGGTTCTGTGCCGCACATACATGGCTTGCATGAACTGTAATCAGCTCACTAGCAACCATCATCATCAATGCAGAAAGCACTTGAAGTCGTCCTTGGTGCCAAATAAAGGAGCCCTGGTAGTAAAGGGGTATAGTGTGTTCTGTGCTGTGCTCCTAATAAAAAAGTCAGTGGTTTGAATCCACAAGCTGCCCCTGAGAGAAAGATGGCCAGCCTCTTCCCAGGAAGCTTGTCACTGGGTGGCCAGATTGACTTGATTTGACAGTGGGCTGCTGCAAAGCTCAAACTTCTTGCCATCAAATGGGAACTGACTCATTGCAGCGGACGCTCCGTTGTCATTCCAAAGCTCTAAGTTGCGTCGAGGAGATCTCTCTCCCATGCACTCACTGGTGGATTCGAACTGCCGGAGAGGCATGGCTATTGATTAGTGGTGCCGCTCCCTACAGACGACTCCACCAGTGCACCATAGCTGGTTCAATGGAAATTCTGTGTCAGCACAGCTGTTCTTCCGCTCAGAAGGCGAGTCCTCTGAAGCGTAGGAAACAAACCTGGACTTGAGTTCAGGTTCTTGACCTGCCATCTACACTCCCTGTGACCATGGGCAAGTCACTTTGTCTCTCTGAGCTTTAGACCGTTCATCTCACCTGTCAAAAGAGATGGTGATAATTACCCATACCTTGTTGAGTGATGGTTGGGATTAATGAGTTAATGTACGCAAAGAACACAGCCCAGCACCTGGCGAAGGGCAGCTCCTAATAAACGTCACCCATTATTATTATTGATGGCATCTCTGTCCTCCGGGTCGTCCTCGTTAAGAGCTGAGATAATGACACCTGTCCTGCCACATCGTGGTGATGAGCGGAGAGTGTGTTAGCTGGATCATAGAGTGGAGCGAAGGGCCTGTGCTTTAGGCCTAAGGCAGACAGAAGAGGGATGTGGACTCGACCCATCAACCCTCTCAACTCCCCTGGGAGTTTAAGGATACAGGAGGGAGTAGACTTGGCTTCTAGGAGCTTCTCAGAGCTGAGCTGGGGAGGTGAACAAGGTGAGCTGAGGAGGAGGGGGCATCCATCTCCCCAGCCCACCCTTGCTTGCCTCCTGCCCACCTTTGCTGGTCTGCCCCATGGCCCTGAGCAGGCTCAGCCCTGGGGCTCTACCCACTGCCCAGGGTCCAGCTCCTGGCCTCTCCTGCCCAGACTTATGACAGGTCAGTGGGTTCAGGTGCCTGGGGCTCCCTGGTCTTCCCTGCTTCAGCCTCAACCCCTCCCTCCCCCGTCCCCAGATGAGCTGACGTGCAGTGCCCGGCTGACGGTGCGGCCCTCGCTGGCACCCCTGTTCACAAGGCTGCTGGAGGACATGGAGGTGCTGGAGGGGCGCGCGGCCCACTTCGACTGCAAGATCAGTGGTACCCCACCCCCCTCCGTCTCCTGGACTCACTTTGGTACGGCGCCTGCAGAAGCCAGGGAACCCCAGGTGCCCAGACTGGGGTGGGATGCTCCCAGAGGTGAGCCCCCCGCTTCTCATTCTCCCTGCTTCCTGCTCAGGCCGCCCTGTGGAGGAGAGTGAGAACCTGCGGCTGAAACAGGATGGGGGTCTCCACTCACTGCACATCACTCATGTGGGCAGTGAGGACGAGGGGCTCTATGTGGTCAGTGCCACCAACACCCACGGCCAGGCTCACTGCTCGGCCCAGCTCTACGTGGAGGAGCCCAGGACAGCCGCCTCCGGCCCCAGGTACTGCCCTGCACCCACCTCCACCTGGGCTGCTGGGGCCACCTGGGAGGTGTCAGCCCAGGGTGGGAGGTGCAACCCCTGCCTCCAACAGCATGTGGCCCTTACAGCTCAAAGCTGGAGAAGATGCCGTCCATCCCTGAGGAGCCGGAGCAGGGCGAGCTGGAGCGGTTGTCCATGCCCGACTTCCTGCGGCCCTTGCAAGACCTGGAGGTGGGACTGGCCAAGGAGGCCCTGCTGGAGTGCCAGGTGACCGGGCTGCCCTACCCTACCATCAGCTGGTTCCACAACGGCCATCGAATCCAGAGCAGTGAGGACCGGCGCATGACACAGTGTATGTGCCAGGAGGGCCTGTGCTTCGTGGTGTCCCCACCCCTCCATGCCCACCTGAGGACCCACCAGTCCTCCTCTCCCTACAGCCAGGGATCCCATAGGGGCTGAGATCACTACCTTCCTCCTCCAGCGACATAGCTCGCATCTGCAGAGGGAGGACCAGAGCCTTGCTGGCACCCTTGCTGGCACCAGGTGGGCAGGTTGTACAGTGTGCTACAGACAGCAGTGCGACCATGCACAGATTACAGAACCTCTCTGGGCCTCAGTTTTCTTGTCTATAGTAGTGTGTTATGAGAATTCAGTCAGTATATGTCAGGTTCTTGCATTGGTGCTGGGCCAAGAGATCAGGCATCATCATCATCATAATAATAGTAATGATGTGTGTACCATCAAATTTTATCTGACTGGTACAGGAGGAGATTGTTCCTCCTTCTCCTGAAGAGAAGCTGGTGGATTCGAACCACACACCTCTGGGATTTCAGTACAGCTTCTTGCCACTAGGCTACCGGAGCTCACCTGGGCTCAGTATTTTCTAAAAACAATCTCATTATTGTTGATGGTGATGATGTTGTCGCCAGTATCCTCACCATTGATAAAACAGTCCTCCTTCATGGAGATGCTTCCTCACGAGAGCCACTGTGCATGGTGCCTGGTTCTGAAAGGAAGCTCGGTGCGGGGCTGTTCTGGCTAACTGAGCCCGACAGACGATCCTCCCTACAGCCCAGCCCTGCACCAACTACATGACCATCTGTGTGCTCATGGTCATCCCTGTGACCACAGTGCTTTCAGTGTCTTCCAGCCAAGCGTGTGCATCTCTCAGAACATTGTCAGGATAGTCTATCCCAGGTTGCTGAGAAATAACAAATACGGAAGGAACGGGAGGAAAACTCAGGAGAAGATGTTTGGGAGATGGCTCCTCGGCCTGAGATCTTTGCTCGTAGCAGCATCTAGCTCCACTCCCAGAGGACGCCGAGGGGCTTTACCTACCCATCTCATGGCACAGTGGCCACACAGTGACCGCTGTACCCATCTCTCGGCCTCAGACAGCGACCCCCTGGCAAAATCTCACCCTTCTTACGTGCTGTCTCAGGGCCAAGCCTTGGTGACTTCAGGCCTCATGCAGATACCCCCAGCCTGTCTCACTACAAGCCTCTAGACCAAGTGCTCATCTTCCCCCTTTACAGATGGGGAAACTGAGGCTTACAGGGGTTCAAGGACTTGCCCAAAGGCAAGCAAGGACTATCTGATTCCGATGGCCGCTTGCTAACCCAGATGCTTTCAGTTTCCATGTCCATTCGCTCTACCTCCCCTCTGGTGCCCATGGCCTGGCCCCTTCCCTCAGCCCCTTCCCAGGGCTGTTTCCCTGACTCTCCGCCTCCCTGTCTCCTGATCCACTCTGCTCTGAGGCGCTGGGTGAGTGTCTCAGCATCTGAGCTGGCGTCTCTGCCTCCAGACGTATCTGGGGTCAGCAGCAGCACTTGGCTTCTCTCCCTTATAAGTAGTGTCAGCAGAGAGAAATGAGAGGGTGGCTGTTCCTTGTGGAGATAATTGTGGAGAGAAGGGAGGGGTGTGTGGGGTCAGCTCTGACGACGACGAGGACAACACAGACCCCCTTCCCCTCACGTCCCCACCAGAGACAGCACATTATCATCACTCAGGGAGCACGACGGAGGGGAAGAGCTTTGGCTTCAACCAAGCTGAAGCCATAGCAGCATCGTTTATTAGCTCTGTGACCTTGGGCGAGTCCCTTAATGTCTCTGACTTCATTGGTAAATTGGGGGTAATTTTTCAGGGCTGTTGTGAGGATTAGAGGAATAAATGTATGCCAGAGTATCTGGCAGAGGCCAGGAAGATAGCAGGAGCTTAAGAGCAAACAACTCTTAGTAGTATAATTTATAACTTGCGTTTAGTACTTATGCATACAAGCCACTGAGTTGTTGGGCTAGGAAGGGCAAACCAATCAGAATGAAGTCAGCACTGTTGCTAACGAGCTTGCAGGCCAATCGGGAAGCTATGACATGTGCGAGCAAGCAAGGTCCGTCCAAGGCTGAGAACCTGGCAAAGGTGTAGATGCGAGGACTGGAGGGAGGACTTAGAGAAAGTGTCAAAGACAGACGTAAAGAGAGAGCTAGAGACGTACTGGTGGCACTTCCTTCTCCAGGACCAGCACCAACTTCAACTAGTCTTTGGAACTGACCCCTAGCTGACCTTCCAGCAGGTTTTCAGAGACAGTCAATCTCTCAGGAGGAGATTGTCCGTCTTTTTTCCTGTGGAACAGGCGGTGGATTTGAACCATGTACCTTTGCGTTGTAAGCGCAGTTCCTTCCCCCTAAGCCACCAGAGCTCCTTCTGAACAGAGAAGGAGGCCGTGTTAAGAAAATAGTGTTGCAGAAGAGCAGAGGCCTAGAGCTGGACGTATATGGTTTGCTTGGGGAGCTGATGGTTTGTTAGGGTGAGAACATTGAATGTAGAGAAGGGGGTATGTGGAAATTCAAGCTGAGGACTTTAGACGCCGCCTGTCTGTCTGCTAATTTGTTGTTTGCCGTTGAGCGGCTTGGACTGCCAGAGACCTGATGTATAAATGGAATGACGTGCCACCAGTTCTGTGCCAGCATCGTGAGCACTGGCATGCTCGAGTCCTTTTCTGTGGCTGCTCTGCCAATTCATCTAAATAAGGTTTCCACCCATTTTCACTGACCGAATGTAATGTGCTTTTCCAGTGAGAAGTCTTTCCTGGTAACATGCCCAGAGTAAGCAAGCCAAAGTCTCCACACCCTCACTTCTTCTTTTTTTTTTAATTTTTATTGTGTGTGTGTGTGTGTGTGTGTGTGTGTGTGTGTGTGTGGTCAAATCAGATCTGACAGGTACAGGAAGAGATTGCCCCTCCTTCTCCAGCAGAGCATCTGGTGGATTCAAACCACATGCCTCTGGGATTGCAGAGGAGCTTCTTGCCGCCATCGTCACTTCTAAGGAGCATTCTGATTGTGTTTTTTCTCAGACGGATACATTCATCCACATCTGCCCTTGACAGTGTAGAGGTGCCATTGGCAGAGGGCTTCTATAGGGAGCTGACTGGAGGTGAGGGGAGGGTGGGAGTGGAAGTGAGTACAGGGAAGAGGTGACCAAAGGAGGGGGCTTTGGAGATAAAATATCCTTAGAAATTTGACATGGAGATTGTGACCCCAGAGAATTGGAGGTGAGAGGACAGCAGGCAGGGATGGGAACCTGCAGAGAGTGGCCCTGTGTAGGAAGAACATGGTAAGTTTCTGGACATGAAGAGCCAAGGGCCAGGCAGGTGGTGTGGATACAGGAGCCAAGGCTGCAGGTGTCGTCATGGAGTGTCTCCTCCAGGGTTTGCTACTCGGGGAAGGCACTTTTTGCTGTCTGCCTCACCTGCCCATTGCAGTAGATGAGACAGAAGGGCCAGGCCTGGGCGGCTCACTCCTCTGTGTATCCCTCCGCTTCAAGCCCAGTGTCACTGTCTCTCCCCTTCCAGACAGGGATGTACATCGCTTGGTGTTCCCTGCCGTGGGACCCCAGCATGCCGGCGTCTACAAGAGCGTCATTGCCAACAAGCTGGGTAAAGCTGCCTGCTATGCCCACCTCTACGTCACAGGTAAGATAGTACCTGGCCGGCAGTGTCCACAGACAGGCCTAGCCACTGGCTCTGTCCAGCCAAGGGTGAGGTGGCCATGGGCTGTGATTGGATGAGGTGGGGGTCACTCAGGGCTTGGTGATCCTTTGTGGTCATTGAGTTCAAAAGGACCTGCTGGGTGTCCACCCTGTGTCTTTCAGATGTGGTTCCAGGCCCTCCTGACGGTGCCCCGCAGACGGTGGCTGTGACTGGAAGGATGATCACACTCACGTGGAACCCCCCGAGGAGTCTGGACATGGCCATCGGTGGGTCAGGCTGGACAAGGCTGTGGAGTGGGGAAGGGGAGCGTCAGGACAGGCTTAGGAGGAGGGCCCTGCGGAGAGCAGGAGAGGCAGGGCAAGGCACTGATGAGACGTGCGCTGTGGCCGAGTGGACAGTGCTGGGATCTCAGCCAGGATATAACTTAGTGTCATCTTTGCGCAGGGCTTGAGAAGAGGCATGGTGTGCCATCATGTCCCCTTCTCTCTCCCGGGATCTCTGGGGAACTGGGTGCTGGGGTCACGGCCCTGGGGATGTCCTCTTTCTGTTCTGTGCCTCAGTTTCCCTGCCCAAGGTGGCAAGTCTCTCTGTGCCTATAACTGAGCCCTCCATCTGGCATTTCATGCGTCCTGTACCTGGCTGCACTTACAGTTGGGGAAGAACAGGCAGGGGGATAACAAGAGAAACTGAGGCAGGCTCAAAACAGACCCCGAGTCCCAACACCCCTGACCAGCAGAACTTGGGGGAGGTGCCGCCTCAGCCTCTAGCAGCCCCCTCTTCCCGCAGACCCGGACTCCCTGACGTACACGGTGCAGCACCAGGTGCTGGGCTCGGACCAGTGGACAGCACTCGCCACGGGCCTGCGGGAGCCGGGATGGGCAGCCACAGGGCTGCGTAAGGGCGTCCAGCATGTCTTCCGGGTCCTCAGCACCAGCGGCAAGAGCAGCAGCAAGCCTTCGCCCCCCTCTGAGCCTGTGCAGCTGCTGGAGCGGGGTGAGCTGGGGGCCCCCTAGCAGGGAGGGGGGTCCTGTGGTAAAACCCTCTGTTCCTCGAGCTGGCCTAGGCCCGTTTGGACGTGACCACTGTGCGAGAACTGGGTGGTCAGGGGGATCCCCGTCTATCAGTGGGTTTCCTTGTCACTCCTGAAAAGTCACTTGACTCATTGGGCCAAGCTGAGGCCCTGGGTTCTAATCTCACCTCTGCTACTTCTTTGCTGTGTGCCCTCTACAAATTCCTAAACGTCTCTGAGCCTCACTGTCATCTTCTGCACAAACGTGGAGCTGCCCCGGAGGTTGAGAGCTTAGTATCCGCATCCAACAAGAGCCTGAATTATCTCCTTTCAGGCCCCCCCCTGGAGGAGGCCCCCACCGTGCTGGACAAGCCGGACGTTGTGTATGTGGTGGAGGGGCAGCCTGCCACCGTCACCATCACCTTCAACCACGTGGAGGCCCAGGTCGTCTGGAGGAGGTGGGCACGCCCTGTGTGCCCTATCTCACTGTGCCAGCCAGGCCCCAGATGGGTGGCCTCTGGGTGACCCAACCTCTTACCTACTACCCCTCAGCCGCCGAGGGGCCCTCCTGGAGGCACGGGCAGGTGTGTACGAGCTGAGCCAGCCCGACGATGATCAGTACCGTCTCCGGATCTGCCGGGTGAGCCGCCGGGACGTGGGGCCCCTTACCTGCACAGCACGAAATCGCCATGGCACGCAGGCCTGTTCCGTCACCCTGGAGCTGGCAGGTGGGTGAGGTGGGCCTTCGTCCGTCTTGCCTCTCTAAGAGACCCCAAGCCTTCTCCCCACACCCTCAGGTGCGTACACCGTCCTGCCCCCGCTGGGGAATCATGCCCTCCCTCAGACCTGTCCTTCTGATGGTTATGATAACGGCAATGTGGTTGTTGTTGTTATATGCCATCGAGTTGCTTGCGACTCATGGCGACCCTGTGTACAAGAGCCCTAAACGCCGTTCTATCCTGTGCCAACCTCGCTGTCTCAAACACACGCATTCCCCACTCCACTCACAGAATCGATCCATCTCATTGAGGGTCTTCCTCTCCTGCGCCGCCCCTCCACTCTCCCAAACGTGATGTCCCTCTCCAAGGACCAGTCCCTCCTTGCAACATGCCCAAAATATGTCATATGAAGCTTCAGAATACTTGATTCCAAGGAGCATTCTGGCTTCACCCTCTCAAGGTCAAACCTGTTTGTTCTCCTAGCAGTCCATGGTATATTCAACACTCTTCTCCAGCACCACAGCTCAAAGGCATCAATTCTCCTTCTAGCATCCTTATTCACTGTCCAACTCTCAGATGCCTAGCACGTAATTGAGAAGACTATAGCCCGGATCAGGCGCACCTTAGTCTCCAGCCTGACATCGTTGCTCTTCAGTACTCTTGCGAGGTCCCTCACAGCTGACTTTCCCAATGCAATTCATCTCTTGATTTCCTGGCTGCTGCTACCAAGAGTGTTGACTGTGGAACCAAGTAAACGAAAACTGTTAACTATCTCAATCTCTTCACCATCCATACTGATGCTGCCAATTGGCCCAGTGGTGAGAATCTTTGTTTTCTTGATGCTGAGCTTCAATCCATATTGAAGACTGCAGTCCTTGACTTTCTACAGCAAGCGCTTCAGGTCCTCCTCAGTTTCAGCAAGCAGCGTTGTGTCATCTGCATAACGCAGGTTGTTGATGATTCTTCTACCAATCTTGATGCCACATTCCTCCTCATACAGCCCAGCGTCTCAGATGATCTGTTCTGCATACAGATTGAAAAGGTATGGAGACAAAATACCTGCCTAATGGACCCCTTTCTTGATTTTGAACCATCCAGAGTTTCCCTGCTCTGTTCTGACGACTGCCTCTTGGTCCAAGTATAGGTTTCGCATTAGCACAAATGTTCTGTAATTCCCATTCTTCTCAGTCAGCCACAGCTTGTTGTGATCCACACAGTCAAAAGCCTTTGCATAGTCAATGAAGCACAGATAGACATTCTTCTGGTATCTCTGCTTTCTGCCAAGATCCATCTAACACTAGCTATAATATCCCTAGTACCATGACCTCTTCTAAATCCAGCCTGCACATCTGGCAGTTTTCTGTTGACATGACAGTAATAGTCATGTTACTGTTAATAGGTGCCATCCAGTCAGTTAACACTCATAGCAGCCCTTTGAACAGCAGATCTGAACCCTGCCGTATCCTGTGCCATCCTCACCGTCTCTGACTCACTTGAGCCCATTGTCATAGTCACTGTGTCAGTCCATCTTGGTGAGGGTCTTCCTCTCTTTCCCTGACCCTCCACCTTTCCCAGCGAGATGGGTTTTTTTCCCAAGGACAGGACAGGACAGGCCTCTTCTCCAAAATATGTGAGATGAAGTTTCACCAGCTTTGACTCTAAGGAGCTGTCTGATTGCAAGACAAACTTGTTATTTTGTCAGTCCACGGGATATCCGGTACTCTCCTCCAGCACTATAATTCAAAGGCATCAGTTCTTCTTTTCAGTAGCAATATTTGTAAGATATTTATCAAGAATATAGCACATACCAGGCTTCATGCTGAGTGCCTCACATACATCATTTAACGTCTTTATCAATTCTGTGTGGTGGAGTCAGTTTTCATTTCCGTTGTGTGAATGAGGAAACTGAGGCTCAGACAGTGCTTAAGGAACTGGCCAAGGTCACACAGACTAGTAAATACAGGAGCTGGGATCCAAGCAGATGCCTGACCCCAAAGCCAGCGAGTGCTGTTAACTCCTGCATTAAACCCAACAGGAAATATTATCTCAAATATAAGCAGAGGGAGGCTGAGCTGATTCCTAAAACAAACAAACACTGGCCCACGTAGGGGCATCTCGTTACCAGACTCCCAGCTCTGAGGATCCAAGTGCCCTTTTGCAGAGGCCTGTGTGACAGAAACGCTTGACCTTTTTATAATTCCTCCTCTGTACATTTAAGCATATCGCCTCCCCAACTATAGCATGCATCCAGGAATAATTGTTTTGTTTTCTGGCTTGTTAATTAGCTGTCGACATATGTAACTGTCCATCAGAATTTCAGATCGGCAGGAGCTAAGCTAACCTGCTGAGTAGCTACAACTCCAGCCAAATGCAAAGAAAGAAAGTGACCTTTTAGTTAGCACGTGCAGTCTTATCCTGGGTAAAATATACGTTTGGGGCTTGTTTTTTTCTTTTTAAAAAAAAAAAAAAACCAAAAGACTGTTTGGACTCCAGTGCTTTGATCTGCATAGACCCGCACCAAGCAACCTAGAGCCTGAGCCGGCTGAACGTGGTGGAGGTGCTGCCAGCAGCCTATGCCAGAGAGGGGCGAGCTGGTAGAAGGTGGGAGAAGCAGCAGGAGGGGGTGAGGGAGAGATAGGAACCCTGCTGGCTCTGCTCTAGGGACGGTGGGTGAGCCCCTGTCTCCCTTGTCTGTGTCTTTCCCCTCCCCCCCCAGCTTGCTCTCATCCCAGTGATTGCTTAAGGCTTTGTTCCAGCCCACTTGGCACTGTCCCCTTGACCACCCCGTCTGCAAGAAGAGTCCTTGGTCTTAGGCAGCCCTGGTCACCTAGAGCCCGACCCTCTAACCCAGGTGGAACAGTGACAGGAAGTCAGCCTCTCCACTGGGAGGCAGGCCTGGGGCTGGGAACTACACCCCCACTCTGTCCCACCCCACACTGCCACCGAGCCAGGGCCAGTAGAACAGCCCCTTCCCTCCGTATCCACCCACTGGTGCATTGTCCCCACCGTCAGGAGGCCCTTCCCCTCCAGATAAAATTGAACTGTGTCCATGTGGTGGACAGTGGTCCGTATCCCATGCTCTCTGCTCCTCCCTCTCATCGCCCTTCCCTCTTCTGGAGGGGGACACCTGGAAGTCGTGAGTCTTTTGCAAAGTACATCTGCACACGTGTTTATGAGAATTATAAGCTGCTTTACCAGGAGATCGTGCGACCATGTGATGTGTGCAGAGGATAAAATCATAGCCACGGGTGGGAGAAATGAAGCTGATAATCAGTGTTTAGCTTTTTGATTAATCTCTGGTTAATACCTATTCATCTTCTCATCTCCCACATGATATAAGTTGCCCTAAATGTTTAAGTAAAATTCAAAGAGAGAAAAAAAAAAACTTTAAGACCATGGCAGTCTCATTTTGGGAGGTTTTAGACAGCTGCCTCAGGGACCAGAACAAAAACCTCAAGTACATTGCCATCAAGTCAGAACCGACAGTAGCTGCCCCTCCAGCAGGACTTTGGAGGCTGTGAATCCCAGGGGAGGAGATTGCCTGTCTTTCTTTGGAGAGGCCATTGGTGGCTTTGAGCTGCCCAAGAGGTGCTGTCTGTGGTTTAGCAGTGCAGCTCTCTGTGGACCAGGCCCCTACCCAGAGGCCAAGGACTGGCCGAGTCTGTGAAGCCACTGAGTGGAGACTGTGAGGAAGGGGTCAGCTATGCAGGCCGTGACCAATGCGTGCCGTGAGGGAGGCCAGCTCCAGAGGGCAGGCCTGACTGTCCAGTGGCAGAAGGAAAAGCACGCGTCTTTTGTGCATGAAAATATCTCCTAATTTTTATTTTTTTAATTTTTAAAATTATTTTTATTATTTTTTTTATGTGTGTACTGTCAAATCAGATCTGACTGGTACAGGAGGAGATTGTCCTTCCTTCTCCAGCAGAGTACTTGGTGGATTTGAGCCATGCACCTCTGGTCCCCTAATTTTTTAATTTATGTATTTTCTTGTTGTGTACCATTGAATATGATCCAGCTGGCACAAGAAGAAGTTGCCCCTCCTTCTCCAGCACTGCATCTGGTGGATTTGAACCACAAGCCTTTGGTATTACAGTGCAGCTTCTTGCCACTAGGTCACCAGAGCTTCTTTGGTCTCCTTTTCAAAACACACATATGAATACGAGGGTCAAACCGAGCAAAGCAAGCACGTGCCCTCTGGCTTGGGTTTTCGGAGCTGGTTCCAGGCGAGGCACTCTGATACCCTGGGGTGCATCGGAGAGCCCCAGTGGTGGGCTGCTGGGAGGTGGGGCTCAGATGGAAGCCACTTGCTGAGGCAGGCCTCTGTGACACCCCCTTCCCACCCACCCTGTCCCTGTGTGTTTCAGAGGCTCCTCGGTTTGAGTCCATCATGGAGGATGTGGAGGTGGGGGCTGGGGAGACGGCTCGCTTTGCTGTGGTGGTTGAAGGGAAACCCCTGCCAGACGTCATGTGGTACAAGGTCAGAGGATGGTGACTGAGGCTGGCTGGGAGGTGGAGGGCAGGGGATAGGGGATGCTTTGGGGGTGGGGCTGTCCTGTGCTGGAGACAAGGGATTCCTGGGGATCTGAGTGGAGACCTGAGAAAGAGCATTGTTGGCAGGAGGGGTGGAACCGGGTGCCACGTGACTCAGATAGTAGAGGACCAGGAGCTTGTAATTGGAGACCTGAAGTCCCTCAGTGGGTCCTGTGTCCTGGGGGGACATGACTCCTGGGGTGAAGGTGATGCTGTGTGGAGATGAGGAGGGGCCTGAGGCCCTGGGGGTTCCTGGCCTTGAAGGACAGGAGACCCTGGGTCTCCACTGTGGAGGTGACTGGGGCCCAGAGGGGGTGAAGCCAGGCTGGTTACACCCCTCTCCTCAGGACGAGGCCCTGCTGGCGGAGAGCAGCCACGTGAGCTTCGTGTATGAGGAGAATGAGTGCTCCCTGGTGGTGCTCAGCGCCGGGGCCCAGGACGGCGGCGTCTACACCTGCACTGCCCGCAACCTGGCGGGTGAGGTCTCCTGCAAGGCGGAGTTGGCCGTGTGCCCAGGTGAGCTGGGCCGGGGTGGGCAGAGAAGGGCTGAGCGCCCACCTACAACAAGACTGTGTGCAGCGCCTCACTCTGGCCCCTGCCACCTCTGGCCCAGCGCTTCAGTCCTCTGTCCCCACCTGTCCCATCCCCTCCTGTTCTTACTCTCTTCATCTAACTTCCCCAGTTCCGACAGCTATGGAGGTTGAAGGGGCCGGGGAAGATGAGGAGCAGCGGGGTAGGAGACTCAGTGACTTCTATGACATCCACCAGGAGATTGGCAGGTGTGGACTGTGGGAAGGACCAAGTGGATGGGGGCTGGGGACCAGGAGGGGCCGGCATGCCAGGCCTACAATCCTTGCTGAGTCCCAGCCCTGTCCCTGTACCACGCAGGGGTGCCTTCTCCTACCTACGCCGGGTGGTCGAGCGCAGCTCTGGCCTGGAGTTTGCGGCCAAGTTCATCCCCAGCCAGGCCAAGCCGAAGGCGTCGTCGCGGCGGGAGGCCCGGCTGCTGGCCCAGTTGCAGCATGACTGTGTCATCTACTTCCACGAGGCCTTTGAGAGGCGCCGAGGACTGGTCATCGTCACCGAGCTGTATCCTGGGACAGATGACAATGGGAGGGGGCAGCAGACTTGTGTCTTACTAGCAACGTGTGTTACAGTTTACAAAGTTGTCCCGTTGTGAAGGGTAAACCTCAAGGTTTATGCAAAGACCAGTATCTTTTCAACTGTTGTGGGTCCCCCCCCTTTTAAATTTACTTAGCATGTCCTCTGTGCCTGGCAGTGTTCCAAGAGCTTTCCAAATATTAACTCATTTAACCCCAACCTCAAACCCCAGGTGGTTCAGACTCAGGGTGGCCAGACGTGTGTACAGAGAAGGACTTGCTGCCCAGGATTTTCCAGGCCTTTGTTTTGAGGCCTACTGGCAGGATTCTCAGTTCTGACATTTTGCATAATAGTTGTACCCTTAGCCTTTATGCCACCCAGAGGCCCTGTATACCTTCTGGAATAGTTTAATCCCATTTTACAGAGGGTGAAACTGAGGTCTTGGGAGGCTAAGTCATTTCCCAGGGTTTGCACAGCTAACAAGTGGCATATGTTTTCCATCTCATGATGCGGTACCGTGTACCTGCACCTTTATGGTGCTCCTTGGAGGCCAGGATGGTGAAGCTTTGTTCTCACATACTTGGGACACATTGTTGGGAGGGGTCCGTCCTTGCAGAAGGACGTCGTGCTGGGAAAGGTGGAGGGACAATGTACGAGAGGAAGGGTCTTTTTTAAAAAAAATGTATTTTTTGTGTGTGTGTACTGTCAAATCAGATCTGACTGGTACAGGAGGAGTTTACCCCTCCTTCTCCAGCAGAGCATCTGGTGGATTTGAACCATGTACCTCTGGGATTGCAGTGCAGCTTCCTGCCACTAGGCCACCAGAGCTCCCTTGAGAGGCAGATTGTTGACAAGGTGATCGACAATGGTGACTATAACAAGGGTCTTGAGTATATTAGAGATGATGAGGATGGCACAGGATAGGACAAGGTTCAGATCTGTTGTAAAAAAAGAAAGGCTCTTATTCGGTCGTAAGCGTTCTGGTAAAATAGAGGCAGCCTGAGAAGTGAGGCAGCTGCGTGGTGAGTTTGTCACGTGGCTACCTGGGTGACCGTCCTGTGCACCAGCCACCCAGTCTGCCCTGCTCCAGCCCATCGCTCGGCAAATGGATCACGTCACTGCATTTCTGAGTATTTTCAAATAGGAAGGTCCGTCTACAGTCAACAGGTCTGCTCTGCTTTGATCTCAGGACTGTGCAAGGTGGGCAAGAGAGGAAATAATGCCCCTTTTTTTTACCTGAGGGAAATTCAAAGCAGTTGAATTATTTACCCAGGATTCGTGGTGTGTTTGAGCCACACCGTTCCAAGTCTGTACTATGATGGGGAAGGGTGAACACATTATCTGGCTGATATAAGGTGCCCTTGAAGAGAAGCAGGGGGTTCCGTGTGTTATCAGGATGCCCAGACCAGGGAGTGGAGGGCACTGTCCAGAAGCAGGCCTGGCCATCAGCACTGGTCACTCTTCTCCTTGACCTTTGATGTAGCTGCACAGAGGAGCTGCTGGAGCGAATGGCCCGGAAATCCACCGTGTGTGAGTCTGAGGTGAGGGCAGCGAGCGGCAGGGCCAGGGTGGGCACCAGCCTTAGCCCGGGTGGGCTTTGACCTTCAGTGGGTGGGTTTGGGCATGCTGTCTGCCCACAAGGAGACTGGGAGTGAGGATACAAGCACCAAGTCGGCAAGAGTTGCCCCTCCCCAATCAGACCCATCTGTTTGGGGTTTACAAATAGAACCCTATCCCTATCTATTTGGGTTTATACTGCCATCTACAAACTCCAGTAGACTCACCCCAGCCCCTAACTTTACTATTTCCCAGTCTTAAGTAAATATTCCCCAGACATTTGTCCCAAGAGAAGTTCTCATTTCTTCATGTCTATCCAGTCTCACTGTGTGCCCCATGTAGGGCTGCATAACAGGTTAAATACTGCACAACTCTTTTTATTACTGTGTTGGTGGTCCCACCTTATTATTGTGCTCTGTTCAACCTGTGCAGGTGTGCATAGCAGCCCTGGATCTCAGCAACCCCTAACCTGTTTCAGCCCCTGCCCCCAGCCGTCTGCGTGCCATACCCCAGGGATGGCCACTTGTCCTGGCTCTGAAGATGATCAGGCATAGCACCTTACTAACCCCTTGGGCTCTGGACCCCTGTTTCCACAGATCCGGACCTACATGCGGCAGGTGCTGGAGGGCATATGTTACCTGCACCAAAGCCATGTGCTGCACCTGGATGTCAAGGTGAGGTTCAGGTGGAGAGGGAGGGTTGGGTTAAACAGCCCCCGTGACAGCGTCCTCCCACTTCACGCAGTCCCCACCCCGGCCTTGTGTCCCGTAGCCCGAGAACCTGCTGATCTGGGACGGTGCTGAGGGTGAGGAGCAGGTGCGCATCTGTGACTTTGGGAACGCCCAGGAGCTGACTCCGGGAGAGCCCCAGTATTGCCAGTATGGCACACCTGAGTTTGTGGCACCCGAGATTGTCAACCAGACCCCCGTGTCCGGAGTCACTGACATCTGGTAATGCTGGCGTGCTGGCCCCTGGGGTGGGTCAGTGCAGCAGCCCTCGCTGCTATGCTGGGGACTTGCTTGCCACCAGACGGGAAATGTATGAAATCATTCCTTCTGCTTGGACAGCGGCTGGTGGCACTGCTCTGGGAGCGTCCTGTCCATGTCACTCCTGATCAGTCAGTGCCTCAGCCTAGTCAGACCCTGCTTCCTTGTCTTCCCTGGATGCAGGATCTCAGGGAGGTCAGCCTCCGTGTCAGCAGCTGACGTGTCTTTCCCAGTGAGAAGGGGCCTCAGTGGTCCCGGAACACTTCTGGGGTTTCTGGGCTGGCCCTTGACTCCTCCAAGCATGTCTGGACTTCTGGGCCCAGCATTCTCACTGAAGGCTGCTTCCCTGGGCTCCTTGTCCACTCAGTGCTCACATGGAGCCTCCCACCCTCAGGCTAATGGTAGCAGAGAGCTGCTTACATCCAGAGGGAGGTGGGCTTGTCTCTCATCTGTTCACTCTTCTCTCCCTCAGGCCTGTGGGCGTCGTGGCCTTCCTCTGGTAAGGACCCTTAAACTCAGGCCCCAGGCCCCATAGCAGCCACCTTACAAGCCTCCCCTCACATTTGCAGGACCCAGGGCAAGAGTGTCATTGGAGTCTGCAGGCACCCCTTCTTTTCCACTCCTTTCTCTGCTCATTCCTCGCCACAGGGGGCCTCGAGTGCATGTGTGTGGACACCCTGGTCTGTATGTCCAGGCTTTATGTCCCCATAAACAGCCACTCTTCAGGTCTAAGACAGTGGACAGAGAGGCCTGTGCAGGCTCTGTGCAGCTTAGGCAGGAAATAATGAGGCTCAGGGTTTCCAACAATGTCTAGAAGGGGAGGGGGCCTAGAGCTCAGGGTGGGCACAGCTCTGGGGGCTTTGGGTGGGCACATCCCCAAGGCCAGAAGCCCCCTTGTCTCGTGGAGAGGCCATGGCTGGTCACTTTGGGCTAAGGACAGTACTGCCTCCCAGCTCATCCAGGGTGAGGAGTGGGGACCAGACAGGCAGGGATCCAGCCTCCTCCCCTGGCCCAGGTTCACCCTGTGTCCTACCCAGGACCTCCAACCACCCTAGCACCACATTGCACCCTCCATCTCTGCCTCAGCACAGGGCCCTGCCCAGCTCTCATATAATCCCCCTCCACTCCTGCAGCCTGACCGGCATCTCCCCATTTGTTGGGGAGAACGATCGGACCACGTTGATGAACATCCGGAACTACAACGTGGCCTTTGAGGAGACAACATTCCTGAGCCTGAGCAGGGAGGCCCGGGGCTTCCTCATCAAAGTGCTGGTGCAGGATCGGCTGTGAGCGCAAGGAAGCCCCTCCCCGCCCCATGACCCCCTGCCCCATGGATGTCCCCACCCCCCGCTAACCCCCAGCTCCTTAGAAGCCTCACGTACTGCTCAAACATTTATTGAATGACCAGCAGCATGAATGAATGCATAGATGTTTGCCACTGAGTTAATTCCAAGTCCTAGTGAGAAATCACAGTAAGGAAAGGTTAGAGCTGCTCCCTTGGATTGCCGCCTTTCTCCCACAGAGTGGCTGGTGGGTTTGGGTTTGAACCACCAACGTTTGGGTTAGCAGCCATAGAGCTTTATCTACTCAGCCACCAGGGCTTCTAAAGCCCTCTGGCCTCTTATTAATCTTTGTTCCTTTACAGGAGGCCTACTGCAGAAGAGACCCTAGAACACCCTTGGTTCAAAGTGAGTCCATCCCATAAAGAGGGTGGGTGGTACCAGGAGTGGACGAGGGAGATAATTATTAACAGCTCCATTTATAGAGTAGCTATAATGTGCCATACTCATGATAAAAAGCATGTTATACCCAAAAGTAAGGTATTATTCCCAGTTTGCTGACAAGGAAACTGAAGTTCAGTCAGTGACTTGAGTTGGAGTATCGCGGGCTGCAGAGTGCAGGGTCTAGGCTCAGATTCTTCCCCCAGCCTGATCCTCGTTAGATTCTCTCTCTGGTTCCCCAGCCCCTGGTCCTCACCCAGGTCTTGTGATGGCATCTCCACCCTGCACTGGCCCTGTGCCCATCAAGTGTTGGATTGCTTATGAGCGCCTCCTGGTGGACAGGATTGGCATTCCTCATTGCGAGCCCTAGTGCCATGGGAGCCAATCAGGAGATGGGGTGCTGGGTCAAAGCGGGTGGGAAGGGGACTTGAGTGAAGTGTCCACTGAGCCTTGTGCTCAGTCAGCTGGAGTGAGGTCATCCTGGCATCGGTCCTTAGGAGTGAGAGCCTGAAAGGAGAGCCTGCTGGTGGCTGAGGGCAAGGTCTGACCTGGTCTGGACTCTCAGGGCGCCCAGCGTCTGGGACTCTAGCCCTTAGGAGACAGACTGGAACCTGGGGCCTCGGCCAGCAGCCTAAGAGCTTTGCTGGCAGCCAAGGACCAGAGCACAAGCCTCCAGGGTCCCCAGTGTTCTGGAACAGCCTGGAGGCCTGGTGTACAACCCCCAGTAGTGGCCAGAGGCCAGCCCCTGGGAGTCACTGATTTTCTGTCTCTGAACTCAGGATCAGGGGATTTGCCACCAGTATTAGTTGTTGCACACCATCAAGTTGGAACCAACTCATAGTTGACCCTCCAGCAGGTTTTCAGAGGCTGTCAGTGGTACAGGAGGAGATTGCCCATTTTTCTCCCTCAGAGCAGCTCACCTCCTTACCACTAAGCTACCAGTGCTCCCCACCTCTGAACTAGGGCTCAGAGGGTTCTCCACCAGTGGGCCCCTTGAATGTGGGAGTTGTCATGATCCTCAAGGGGAAGAGACACCACCCCCCGCCCCCAGGATCCCAGGCTTGGTGCTGCTTTGTTCATGGCCCTGGCCGTGGATGCTCTTTTTATTGCAAACACTGAGGGGCCATGGTGGCAGTGGGCTCCCCTTCATGCCCTGTTTCCTGGACTTGCAGACACAGGCAAAGGGCGCAGAAGTGAGCACGGATCACCTGAAGCTGTTCCTCTCCCGGCGCAGGTGGCAGGTGAGTGGAACTCAGGCCCTGCCTCTGCCCTGGCCTCTTCTGGTCCTGTAAAGGCCCCTCTCTAAGCCCTCCTGCCTGTGGCCTGAGCTCCTGCCTCTCTTTGAATTCCCCCTATTCATTTCCTCAATTCTCGGCTTCCCTCCTGCCCCCATAGGCCTTCTCCTACGGGGCTAGGTCGTCTGGGGTGGGCCTGGATGGATCAGTCCTGCCCCGGGGGCCCTTGGGCCTGACTCTAGTATCCTTCCTCCAGCGCTCCCAGATCAGCTACAAGTGCCATCTGGTCCTGCGCCCCATCCCTGAGCTGCTGCGGGCCCCACCAGAGAGGGTCTGGGTGGCCGTGCCCAGACGCCCACCCCCCAGTGGTGGGCTCTCGTCCTCCTCAGACTCGGAAGAGGAAGAACTGGAGGAGCTGCCCTCGGTGCCCCGTCCCCTACAACCCGAATTCTCTGGCTCGAGGGTGTCCCTCACTGACATTCCCACTGAGGATGAGGCGCTAGGGACCCCAGAGGCAGGGACTGCCACCCCCATGGACTGGCAGGAGCAGGGGAAGGCCCCCTCTGAGGACCAGGAGACCTCCAGCCCCCAGGTGCTCCCCTCCCCAGGCCAGGAGGCCCCCGCTGGGCCCAGCCTTCGGCGTGGTGAGCTCCGGAGGGGCAGCTCCGCAGAGAGCGCCCTGCCCCGGGCCGCGTCGCGGGAACCGGGCCGGGGCCTGCACAAGGCAGCGTCCGTGGAGCTGCCGCAGCGCCGAAGCCCCAGCCCGGGGGCCGCGCGCCTGGCCCGGGGTGGCCTCGGGGAGGGCGAGTATGCCCAGAGGCTGCAGGCCCTGCGTCAGAGGCTGCTGCGGGGAGCCCCTGAGGACGGCAAGGTCAGCGGCCTCAGGGGCCCCCTGCTAGAGAGCCTGGGGGGCCGCGCCCGGGACCCCCGCCTGGCACGCGCAGCCTCCAGCGAGGCAGCGCCGCACCACCAGCCCCCACCCGAGGCACGAGGCTTGCAGAAGAGCAGCAGCTTCTCCCAGGGCGAGGCGGAGCCCCGGGGCCGGCATCGCCGCGCAGGGGCGCCCCTGGAGATCCCCGTGGCCCGCCTTGGGGCCCGCAAGCTGCAGGAGTCGCCCTCCCTGTCTGCTCTCAGCGAGGCCCAGCCCCCTAGCCCCGCCAAACCCAGTGCCCCCAAGGCGGCAGAATCCCCTGCCTCCACGCCCAGTGACGCCCCACAGCCCTTGGAACCCCAGCCGGCCCAAGAGAGAGTCCCTGAGCCCGCGCCTCAACGAGTCCCAGCGCCTAGGCCTGCACAGCCCCCCACGATCCTGCTGAGTCCAGCGCCGCCCCTCACGCCCTACGCCCAGATCATGCAGACCCTTCAGGTGCCAGGCCACGCCCAGGTCCCCCCACAGGAGCCCAAACCCCACGCCGCTGTGTTTGCCAGGGTGGCCTCCCCACCCCCTGGAGCCCCCGAGAAGCGCGTACCATCAGCCGGGGTGTCCCCAAGGGCGGCCGAGAAAGTCCGGGTGCCCACAGTGCCCCCCAGGCCAGGCAGTAGCCTCAGCAGCAGCATCGAGAACCTGGAGTCAGAGGCTGTATTCGAGGCCAAGTTCAAGCGCAGCCGCGAGTCTCCCCTGTCGCGGGGCCTGCGGCTGCTGAGCCGCTCGCGCTCCGAGGAGCGGGGCCCCTTCCGCGGGGCCGAGGAGGAGGACGGCATATACCGGCCCAGCCCCGCGGGGACCCCGCTGGAGCTCGTGCGACGCCAGGAGCGCTCACGCTCGGTGCAGGACCTCAGAGCTGCTGGCGAGCCCGGCCTCGTGCGCCGCCTGTCGCTGTCGCTGTCGCTGTCCCAGCGGCTGCGGCGGACCCCGCCCGCGCAGCGGCACCCGGCCTGGGAGAGCCGCGGAGGGGACGGCGAGAGCTCGGAGGGCGGCAGCTCGGCGCGCGGGTCCCCAGTGCTCACGGTGCGCAGGCGGCTCAGCTCCACCTTCGAGCGGCTGTCGAGCCGGTTGCAGCGCAGCGGCAGCAGCGAGGACTCAGGCGGCGGGTCGGGACGCAGCACCCCACTGTTCGGACGGTTGCGCAGGGCCACGTCGGAGGGCGAGAGTCTGCGGCGCCTGGGCCTCCCGCACAACCAGCTGGCCGCCCAGGCCGGCGCCACCACGCCATCCGCAGAGTCCCTGGGCTCGGAGGCCAGCGCCACATCGGGCTCTTCTGGTGAGGAAGGCTGGCGGAAGTGTGGATGGGCTGGGGCGCCGGGCAGAGCTAAGGTGGTGTTTGGAGTTGGGAAGAGGGTAACGTGTGCTGGGGCCTTGAGAATGGGAGGTAGAAGAGGCTGCAGGGATGAGAGGCTGGGTCAGAGCTGGGTGTTTTCCCTACTGTCACCTTCTCATAGGCTGCAGGGAATGGGGAGGCTTCCTGATACTAACTGGGCTCTTGGGTCCTCACAGCCCCGGGGGAAGGCAAGAGCCGGCTCCGCTGGGGCCTCTCGAGGCTGCGGAAGGGTAAAGGTCAATCCCAACCGAACCTTTCGGCCAGCGTCCAGGAGGACTTGGGTCAGCAGTATGTGCGCAGTGAGTCAGGTGAGACAGAGGACTGACGTGGGTGCACACATACACACGTCTGAGAGGGAGGAGAGAAGTCAAGGTAGGGGGAAGATGGACTGTCTAGGGGAGCTTGGGCTACGGTGGAGTCTGAGAAACAGTAGCTGTGGCTACAGAGATGGATTGGCTCGGACCTGCACTAATGGGCTCAGGCATGGACAGATCAGATCTGAGGTGGGCCCGGGATAGGATACAGTTTCTCTCTGCAGTTCCTAGAGTCCCCATGAGTCACAACCAGCACCATTTACTTGACAATGTCAGTGTTGTATTAAGCACTTCGTAAGCAATGGCTCATTCAGTCCTTAACATTGCTTGGAGGCCGTGAGATGATAATAAACTTGACAGGTTAGGAAACAGTCTAGATTGTCCAAATCACAGAGCCAGTAAGAGGTGCGGCCGGAGAAGTGACCCTGTGACCGACCATCTACAAGCACCTTTCATTGGTTGCCTTGCTCTGATGGGAGACTCCTGGCCTTTGTTGGTGTTGCAAAGAGAAGGGAGCTCAGGATAAGGCCCTCCTGCCCCAAAGCATCCCTTCCAATCTGTGTACTCCTGATCACGCGTCCAAAGTCACTTGTGTCCTCCCTCAGTGTATGGAACTTCTCTTAGGCTAGCTCCAGTTCTCTATAGCCAAGCAACACCCCCCCCCCCCAAAAAAAGGCAGCCTCGGGGCTCTGGCTGGGAGCAGGGGTCTTGGGCTAAGCCTGGTCTGTTGCCCTGCACCTCATCCCCCACCTGAACATGCAGCTTAGTGTGAGGTTTCCAGGTACAGGGCTTGAGCCTGGAGTGTGGAGGGTCTCTATAAGCCACCCTGGTCCCTTGTCAGGTCCTCAGAATGGTTCCAGCCTCAGCATCACTGGGCCTGAGGGGACCTGTGTCTAGCCCAGGCCAGGGAAGCCAGGGTGACTCATTAGAGGCCAGTGGGGTCTGTGGTGAGGAAGGAAGAAGGCCAGCTGGAGGGGAGGGGTGTGAGAAGATGGAGCTATACCAGTATGGAGCCCAGATAAGGCAGGACACTGCCCCCTGCACACCCTCCCCCCTGGGCCCTCCCTCTGGTTCACTTCACTGGTACAGCTGATTCCTGTCGAGGCATGGTGGAAGGTTCTGGAGTCTGAGAAACAATTGCTACCACTATGGAGATGGATTGACTCAGGGCCTGCACTCATGGGCTCAAGCATGGCTGAGATCAGATCGTGAGGATGGTGTGGGATAGGACACAGGTCCGGTCTGTTGCTCCTGGAGTCACCATGAGTCATGGTCAACTCCACGGGTGCTTAACAACCACCCCCACTTACTCGACAATGTCAATGTTGTCTTAAGTGCTCATTCAGTTCCCTTACTTTGTCCTCTCCCCACTCCCTGCAGGGCTGGCCCCCAGGAGGATGGGGTGAGGCAGGCAGAACAGGGCCAGGGCACCTTACCTCCTGTCTCCGTACCCCTCTTGTTCTGGAGGCTGCGGCTGGGGGACAGTGTTCACTCTAGGTTGTGGGTACCTCAGTGGGACATCTCCCTGGGGAGCTCAGGGTACAGTGCGGGGTGCTGCTGACCTGTCCATCGGATCCTGCTGGGCGGTCCTTCACTGCTCAGCTTGTCCCACCCCGCCTGTCACTGGCCTCCTCAGAGCTCTCACTCGGGAGTCCCACCTCTTCTAGCTCTCCCGACTCAGGTGGAGAAATCCCTCTAGCTGGGCCTGGCCAGGGCAAAACGGGGATTTTCCTAGAAGGATGTGCCTAGGGCGTGTGCACTCAAGCCTCATGGCATTCCTTTTTTTGTTTGTTTGTTTTTAAAGAATTTTAATGATAATTTACAGAGATTTAGGGTTTCCAGTCATTCACTGTTGCACTTTTCTCCCTGCCCACCCCTTCCTTCCCCAATCCACTCTTCTTGAAAAGTAAAAGAAAAATTCTTTCACTGTTATACAATCCATCCCCCCAAGTCCACTCCACTGTGCAGCCTTCATTCTGGACTCCTGTCATGACAATAATACCCGATCATATACCCCTTTTAAACAGTTCTCTCCCTCATCTGATTCAGTGCAGTGTACATCATTCCTCCCGCCTCGCGGCTTTCTTGAGCACCAGACTGGCTGGGCTGGAGTACAGAGTCTGGCACCCTCCCCGAGGCCCCCCGCAGGACAGCCTCATTCTCAGGTGTCTACACCAGGCTCCTCTCTCAGACCACACGACCAACGTCGTAAAAATAACAGCTGCAATATTGTTAGGTGCTCTTGGTGTCAATTCCAACTCATAGTGACCCCAAGTGACGACAGTAAGACTGCTCCCAGAAGGTTTTCTAGGCTGTGATCTTTATAAAGCACATTCTAGGTACTTCTCCTGAGGAATCAGTGATGGGGAGTCGGACAGTCTTTCAGTCAGCAGTCAAGCACTTAGCCTACGCGTCACTAAGTTCCTCTCAACAACAATAAGGCCAAACACTGATTAACATTTACTGTTTACCAGACAAAGAGCTATGACAGTGAGAGCATTCCATGTTGGGCTCCCAGCTGAAAGGTCAGAGGTTTGGATCCCCCGTTACTCCTCTGGAGAAGGATGAACAGTCTCCTGCCGTTAAACATTCGATCTCCTCCCGTTTACGGCTTCAGAAACAGAGTGGAGAGTTGCTATGAGCTGATTGGATACCATGGCCATAGGCTTATGTGCCAGACGTGTGAAGCACTTTCTAAGGCTCTTCTCATTCTCACAACCCTCGACTTACAGACAGGAGATGGCACTTCTGAGAGGACAGACGACTTGTCCAGGGTCTTGTCCCTTAAAGATCTTTCCCCCCTAAGTTGTTCTGCAGGAATGTGGAGGAGATGAGGCAGCTGGGAGGAGGGGCTGACACTTCCAGGACCTGCCCAAGATTTACCTTGATCCCGGGTCTCCAGCTCTATCGTGTCTTGAGCCCCCTGGTCTTTGTGGAATCTCAGCTCCAGCCACTTGTTCATCTTCCTTTTCTTCTTTTTTGCCCCAAAGCGAATGGACATTGCAGGCTCTTAACCATTATAGCTATTCAATAGCTATTTGGTTTTGGTTTCATTAACAAATGCTTACAGAGGATGCACTCGGTGTTCTTTCTCTAAGTGATTTGCAAACACCGGAGGTAGATGCCGATGGCTGATGGCTTCAGTAGTTAATGGAAGGAAGAGCTAGTTCAGCGTTCAGTCAGTCTCGGGAAGGTGATGCTCCAGGAATGTGCTCAGAGGCCTGGTGGGGGCTTTCACTCCGCACACCGCATCCCAGCATCCCACGGGGCAGAGAGGACCACTCAGCCTGCCCCCCTCTGAATCAGCCTCCCCTCACTATGTGGTGAAAGGGCCAGGGTCCCCGCAGACCCATTCCATCCCTGCCCTCCTTCCAGACTTCCCCCCGGTCTTCCACATCAAGCTCAAGGACCAGGTGCTGTTGGAAGGAGAAGCAGCCACTCTGCTCTGCCTGCCGGCGGCCTGCCCTGCACCCCACATCTCCTGGATGAAAGGTGAAGAGGTCAAACAGGGAGGACGCTGCATCCCAGATCCTGGGGGTGGGGGACCAGGGCTCAAGGACTGCCCAGGGGTGGGGCCGGACAAGGACCCTCGAGATCACCCCACCCAGCAGTCCTTCCTGCTTCTGTACCCCAGACAAGAAGTCCCTGAAGTCTGAGCCCTCGGTGGTCATCGTGTCCTGCAAAGACGGACGACAGCTGCTGAGCATCCCCCGGGCCGGCAAGAGGCACGCAGGGCTCTACGAGTGCTCGGCCACCAACGTGCTGGGCAGCATCACCAGCTCCTGTACCGTGGCCGTGGCCCGTGAGCAGGACGGGGACAGTGATGGGGTGTGGGGCAGGGGCGGATCCAAAGTGGGGGGGCACAGGGGTCACTGCAGCTCTCCTCGTGCCAGGTGTCCCAGGGAAGCTTGTGCCTCCCGAGGTACCCCAGACCTATCAGGACACGGCGCTGGTCCTGTGGAAGCCGGGGGACAGCCGGGCGCCCTGCACGTACACGCTGGAGCGGCGCGTAGAAGGTGAAGGCGGGGATGGGACGGCAGGATGGGAGACAGCCCATGGGACAAGTGCCCTCGTAGGGCAGAAGTGCCCCGCAGGCTCCTCACAGAGCCTGTTTCCTATGCTGCATCTGCAGGGGAGTCGACCTGGCACCCCGTGAGCTCGGGCATCCCTGACTGTTACTACAACGTGACCCAGCTGCCCATTGGCGTGCCTGTCAGGTTCCGTGTGGCCTGTGCCAACCGTGCAGGGCAGGGGCCCTTCAGCAACCCTTCTGAGAAAGTCCTTATCAGGGTCACACAAGGTCAGCGGGCTGGTGCTGTGAGAGGGAAGGGCACACTGCCTGAGGCCACCCCTCTTTGAAGCATCACTGTTTGGTCCCTGGGTGTCAACATGAAAATTTTCCTTCTTGACACTTAGATTCCTCTGCTGTGCCGTCAGCTGCTCTCCAAGATGCCCCTGTTACCTCAGGGCCAGCCAGGGCCCCACCTTCTGACTCTCCTACCTCACTGGCCCCATCCCCTCCCCTGACCCCAGCTCCCCTCACTCCCCAGGCAGCCGCTCTGAGCCCCTCATCTCCCCCAGCACCCCCTAGCCAGGCCTTGTCCTCACTCAAGGCCGTGGGTCCACCACCCCAAACTCCACCACGAAAGCACAGGGGTCTGCTGGCTGCTCGGCCGGGAGAGCCCACGCCACCCAATGGCCAGGTCCCGCCTGGTGGGCCCAAGTCTTCCATCCCAGACTCTGGGACTCCAACCCCAGCCTCCACCCATCTAGGAGCTAAGCCAGCATCTTCCCCTACTCCCCAGTATATAGTGACTTCCTTTGTATCCGCACCCCCAGCCCCTGAGCCCCCAGCCCCCGAACCCCCTCCAGAGCCCACCAAGGTGACTGTGAGGAGCTTCAGCCCGGCCAAGGAGGTGGTCACGTCCTCTGGGCCAGAGAACACCACGCTTCGACAGGGGCCCCCTCAGAAACCCTACACCTTCCTTGAGGAGAAGGCCAGGCAAGTGGGCTGGGACAGGTTGGGGGCCCAGGGAGGCGGGGTGGGGGTTGAAAACCTGGGAGAGAAGCTGGCTGCCTCGGGGAGGGGTGAAACCCCAGCACTCTGGAGCCAGGCACAGGACTAAGCTCTTCAACCATATTGTTATGAGCTGTTGGGTCAGGACTACCTCCTATCTGACCTGCCAGCGGGTTTTCAGAGGCTGTAAATCACACAGGAGGAGATTACCCATCATTGTTTCACAAATCAACTGATAGATTCGAACTGTGTGCCTTTGGGTTGTTAGCACAGCTCCTCATCACTAGGCCACCAGAGCTCCTGCACCATAGGATCTCGGTTCATCTTCAGAGTAGCTCTGAGAGGGGCCATTATCATCACCCGTTCACAGAGGAGGAAACAGGCTAGAAAGGTGATGAGACTTGCTTAAGGGACAGAGCCGGAGCCAGGAGGAGTTGGGATTTGAACCCAAGTTCCTGTGTTTCAACTGGAACCTACACTCAGAGCTGTTGTTGTCCCGGGGGACCTGATCCCTCTGCTCTGCCCTCAGCATGGAGATGTCCCCTCCTGTCCTCACCGTGACAGTGTCCCCTGCTCTGTCCTCACTATGGTAGTGTCCCCGTCTGCTCTCACCATGGCAGTGTCCCCTTTTGCCCTTATCGTGGCAGTGTCCCCTGTTCTGTCCTTGCTGTGGAGGTGTCCGCTGCTCTGTCTTCACTATGACAGTATCCCCTGCTCTGCCCTCGCTGGGAGACGTCCCCTCCTGCTCTCACCATGACAGTGTCCCCTCCTGCCCTCATCATGGCAGTGTCCTTTGCCCTGCCCTCACTGTGGAGGTGTCCCCTGCTCTGTCCTCACCATGACAATGTCCCCTTCTCTGTCCTCACCATGGCAGTGTCCCCTTCTGCCCTTGTCGTCCCAGTGTCCCGTGCTCTGTCCTCACTATGGAGGTGTCCCCTCCTCTGTCCTCACCATGACAGTGTCCCCTCCTCCCCTCATCATGGCAGTGTCCCCCGCTCTGTCCTCACCGTGGCAGTGTCCTCTGCTCTGTTCTCACCGTGGACGTGTCCCCCTCCTGTCCTCACCGTGGCAGTGTCCTCTGCTCTGTTCTCACCATGGACGTGTCCCCCTCTCTGTCCTCACCGTGGACGTGTCCCCTCCTTTCCTCACCGTGGACGCGTACCCTGCTCTGCTCTGAGCCTCGGTGACTCACCTCCCCAGGGGCCGCTTTGGTGTAGTGCGTGCGTGCCGGGAGAACACGACGGGCCGGACGTTTGTCGCTAAGATTGTGCCCTACGCGGCCGAGGGCAAGCAGCGGGTCCTGCAGGAGTACGAGGTGCTGCGGACCCTGCACCACGAGCGGCTCATGGCCCTGCACGAGGCCTACATCACCCCACGCTACCTCGTGCTCATCACCGAGAGCTGTGGCAACCGGGAGCTGCTTTGTGGGCTCAGCGACAGGTAGTCGGAGCACCCGGATGGACAGGGCCGGGACTGGCTGGGCCCTCACAGACCCGGGACATCACCCGTCTTTCCCCCAGGTTCCGGTACTCTGAGGATGACGTGGCCACCTACGTGGTGCAGCTGCTTCAAGGCCTGGAGTACCTCCACGGCCACCACGTGCTGCACTTGGACATCAAGCCGGACAACCTGCTGCTGGCCCCTGACAACGCCCTCAAGATCGTGGACTTCGGCAGTGCGCAGCCCTACAACCCCCAGGCCCTGCGGCCCCTGGGCCACCGCACTGGCACGCTGGAGTTCATGGGTGAGGAGGGCAGGCCGCCAGCCTGTGGGAGGTCAGGGTGCAGCCAGGATGGTGGCCAGGACTCCCTGCTGCTCTGGTATCCGTGGTCTGTCCACTGCCCCTGCCTCTCAGGCCCCCCAGGCCTCCCCTTCCTTCTCCCAACTCTGCCACCAGAAAGCCAGGTCAGCTTGGCCTCTTGTTCCCTGTCAGCTCCTGAGATGGTGAAAGGAGAACCCATCGGCTCTGCCACGGACATCTGGGGAGCAGGGGTGCTCACCTACATCATGTGAGTGTCCTGCGCCAGGCTGGCCCTCCCTGCAGCGCCGATTCCAGGACTCCCCTCTGGTGGCCCCAAAACACACCTCCTTCCCTCTTGCTGTCCACACCCCCAGGGGCAGAGTGGTACTCGTTCCTAAATGCTTCCGTCCTCAGAGCCCCCACACTCGCATCCCTGTTACCTGGGCCTCAGTCTCCATGTCAACTGACTGTCTCCCACAACAGGCTCAGCGGACGCTCCCCGTTCTATGAACCAGAACCCCAGGAAACAGAGGCTCGGATTGTAGGGGGCCGTTTTGATGCCTTCCAGCTGTACCCCAACACCTCCCAGAGCGCCACCCTCTTCCTGAGAAAGGTCCTCTCAGTGCATCCCTGGTGAGTGGGCCTCACACCTGCCAGACTCCAAGCATCCCCTTGCCCGCCCAGCCTGTGCCACAGACCCCCAGCTCCTGCCCAGCCCAGCTCTGCTACTACTGTGGGGCATACGGTTAAGTGCTTAGGTTCAAACCAAAAGTTTGGCAGTTCAAATCCCTCTAGAGGAGTGCTCGCTTTGGCAGCACATATACTAAATCCCTCTAGAGGCACCGTAACGAAAGATCTGGCTGTTTAAATTCTGAGAAGGCAAAACTATGAAAAGCCTTGTGGAGTGCAGTTCTGTTGTGACACACACAGGCTCTCCACAGGTCAGAACCAACTCGATGGCACCTGGTTTGCTGTCACTAATACTAACGGTCGGGCTGCCGACTACAGGGTTGCCATCCCCAGTCCAGATACACAGCTGTGCCACAAAGCAGCCCCAGATCACACACTCAGGTGAACCCGGGACAGGGACTCGGGTCTCTGTGAGCTGATCCTCGCCGCTCACCACTGCTCCTGTGGCCGGGCAGGAGCCGGCCCTCCCTACAGGACTGCCTGGCCCACCCGTGGCTGCAGGATGCCTACCTGATGAAGTTGCGTCGCCAGACGCTCACCTTCACCACCAACCGGCTCAAGGAGTTCCTGGGCGAGCAGCGACGCCGCAGGGCCGAGGCCGCCACCCGCCACAAGGTGCTGCTCCGCTCCTACCCTGGCAGCTCCTAGGGGCAAGGACCACACAGCCCGGCCTCGGGCTTCGACTCGGTTCCCGCCAAGTGCACGGGACATTCCAGGGCCCATGCTGAGCCGGGTGGGCCCGGGGCTTCGGACACCACCAGCAGCAACATCCGGCCGGGCTATTACCTCATGGACCTTCGGGACAGAGGCCCAGGGCCGGGGCCTGCCACCGCCGCCTGCCAGAGCAGGAGAGCCTTTGGGCAGCTGGTGGGCACGGGTGGAAGCAGAAAGAGGGGCGAGAAAGGAAATAGGGAAGTGAAGAGGAAAAAGAAGATGAGGGATGGCAAAGGGGAGCGTCTTGGAAGGTTCGGAGGGTGGGAGGACAGCCCACTGGGAGAACTGAGAGGCATGTAAGAGTGGCTGGGAAGGAACGGGGCCCAGGGGTCAGAGTGATGGTGGGTGTCACTGAAGCAGGGACAGGACTAGGTCCGAGCAGGACTGAGGACGGCCAATGAGGTAGGGGAGGAAAGGAGAGAGGACCCAGTGGAGGTGGGCAGTCAGGAAGGAGATGCCTGGAGGGGGGAAGTGACCCGAGAGGAGTGGCCACTCGGGCCTGCGGTGCCTCCTGTCCCCGTGGGGTGGGTGCAGCCGCAGATCCTGTCACGCTGTGCTGGCCCAGGGATGTCCCTGTCGCCCCTTTCATGGCCTTTGACCTTCTTCCTACTCATATTTATTTATTTATTGACTTTTCTGAAATTTTCCCTTCCACCCAGTCCCTGTTGTCCATGTTGTCCTGACCATACGCCCAGCCATGCAGTTGCTTGCGCAGCTGTGTGTCTGTCTGTCTGTCACAAAGAAAATAAAAACGCAAACAGCAGGGCCTCTGTGTGTGTGTGGTCTTTGCGGGTGGGTAGCTGAGAGGGTAGTATTGTGTCCTGAGGCGGGCAGTTCAGCATTCTTGGGGTGGGGGAGCCCTGGTGGCCCAATGGTAAAAAGCTGCGCTGCGACCCCAAAGACACGAAGTTTGAGTCCACAAGCTGATCTTCAGAAGGATGGAAAATTTCCTCCTGTGCAACTACTTGCCTCAGAAAATCTGCCAGAGGGTCAGCTATAACTCGATGGTAAACGAGAACAGCAACAACTAGGCTGGGGAAAGCTGAAGGAAGCCCCTGGCAACAAAGACCTTGGGATATACCAGCTGGCTGACTGGGGGCCCTCCACACCCTCCCTTGGTTCCCCTAGCTCCTCCCTTCCAGTCCTGGTGTGTTTCTTTCTCCTTCTGCCATCTCTGGATTCCTGACAGAACTGGAGTCCCCCCTAACTAGACTTTAGGAGCCCCTCTACCTCCTCTCACATGTTCCCCCATCACTCCGGGACTTCTGGGCCTGCATAATAAATTAGGCCACATCCCAATCCTGGTCTACCCACCTTTGTTCTGCCCAGCAGAGAGGCCAGCTCAGGCGCTGAACCCCAGAGCAGAGGGGATTTCATCATGGTGACTGGCGGGAGCAGGTGGTGTGACGAGCTGCAGAGGAATCCGGGGCCGCCCAAACCCTTGCTTGCAGTGCTAGAACTCGAGTCGCCACACGAGCAAGCACCAGCTGTCCCAGGCAGCTGTGAGAGCTCCAGTCGGCCGTGTCTGCTGCTGTGGGGGCACACATGGGCATTTATTTTCTGGAGCTGAGAAGCACATCAGCCTGGGCTGCTTTGTCCACAGGGCAAACCACGGTGTTTGTCAATGTCAAGGTGACTTCAGCCATCCACCACAGTGTCACAGCATGCTTGCTGGCCCCTAGATCCAAGGACACCCTGTTCTGAGAAGGACTGGCAGGGAACCAAGCCTCTCTCTACCCAAAGGGACAACCCCCCCTTACCCTCCATTCTAAAATCTCTGATCTTGGCAAAGAGAAAGGGGCCAACTTCCAACCATGAACAGAGAGTAAATGTTTGCCGCTGATTGAGGTTGGGGGCCCTTGGCTCCAGCCCAAGCGACCAAATTCCCTTCCAGCCTAGCCTAGCCTCGCTGGCTTCTCAGGACCCCAGGGAAGGGACAAACACATCATCATAAAATAACAGCATGTTAAAGCCAGCTGGAAGGGACCAGAGGACTGCCTTACCCACCTGTCATTTTACTGAGGAAGATATACAGTATGCCTGTGAGAATCTCCCATCCCCTTCTCACTGCAAGTGTTTTCCTATAAAAATGAGGTGCCTGAGCTCATATCTTGATAAATGGTAAAATTCCACTCCTGTCCCCCCTCTGATCCAGAGCTCCCTTCCCATCTCCATTGGAAATGGCATTTGAGTGAACTGCTTGTTCCGAGCCCGGAGGAGCAAAGGTAATTTATGTCAGTAGAGTTGTGTCAAAATTGCTCTGATCAAAAGGTGACAGAGCTCCACACCTGGGTAGGCAGTTACAATAAAGAACACAGCTCCTTTCCAGTGCCCTGGCCTGGCCAACTGGACTCCTTAGGGATCCTGAGACCCTTCACCCAGGAGGTCTGATGCGCCAGCACCAGTTTATGTCACACACTGGACTTAGATCTAGAGTTGGGATGAGAGACCTCCGGGGACCCTGTCAAATCACAGCAGTGACACGGGTAGGATGGGGTGACGACAGAGCGGGGGGAAATACAGTTCGCAGAGACCTTTCCAGTCCCTTACACGGCTTCTCCCCGCCTACCGCCAGGGGGCACTGTCCGGAAAGTACTACCCTGGATGTAAGGCGCTTCCCGATTGGACCTGGCAACTACGTGGTCCTCTCGTGATTGGCTGTCTGGACAGAGAAGTTGCAGGTTCCTCCTGCTTCTTCCAGGGACACATTTTACCCTCACCCCCTTACCCGACGGTCCCCCCGGGACTCGGAGACTGGCCTCCGTGTAAAGCGGCGCCAGCTGTGATCGGAGTCTCCTGTTCGCCAGCGGCTGTGCCCAGCCCTCCGGGAGCGGGAGGGATCCCCCTGCCCTGGGCTGGGTTGCGTCCAGTTGTGCAGCTGTCCGGGCGCTGACGCGCGGTGCACCCCAGAGCCGCTCGGGTTTCTCCCCCGGGGTTGGCTGCACCGGCTGAGCCAGCATCCCAGGCGTCGTCGGGCTAAATAAGGATCCAGCATGGGTCAGGGGGCGGGGGCAAGGGTCCCGGGGGGCTTGGGGCAACCACGCCAAACAAGGCAAGGAGGGGAGCGATGTATAAAACCGGGGCCCGGGGCTGAGCGCCTGTCCGCGCCCCTACTGTGCCGTTCGGGCGGGCTTCGATCGTGTAGCCTGCGACACAGCCAGTCGACCCGAGTCCCCAAGTCGCCCACCCCACGGTGAGTCACTCTGAATGTTCTGACCCGGCTGAGACTGGGCTGCAGGCCGCAGCTTCTGTCTCTAATTCGGCCCAGACCTCATATTGTTACCTGCTCCCAGATGTCCAAGGCCGCTCCCGCCAAAAAGCCAGCGCCTACGGCCCCGCCCCCGGGTTGTACCCTGGATATCAACGACCCCCAGGTCCAGAGCGCGGCCATCCGCATCCAGGCCTCTTACCGGGGTCACAGGTGAGGGGGAACCTGCAAGGGGGCTGTAGGTGCAGAGACAGGTCCCTGCACTGGCCGGGGAGAGGACCCAGGGGGCAGTGGCAGAGACCCCTGGGGCAGTGGACTGCAGGAGTGAAGTGGTGGCCAGCTTGGACCATTTCATGATAATAGCTCCGGAGCAACCCTCACCATTTCCGTTTAGGGGTCTGCAGCCCCTTACCATTTCTGTCTGGGGGGTATGCAGCCCCCACCGTTTCTGTTTAGAGGTCTGGTGGGTCTATGGGGGGGGGGTGGAGAGGAGAGAGCAGAGCGCGGGGCGGGGTTGTGGGCGCTGCAGGACCCTGACTCAGCCCGCCCCTAGGTCTCGGAAGGAGCTGCGCGAGAAAGGACCGCCCCGGGTGCTGGAGCCGCTGAAAGACGTGGTGCTGATCGAGGGCAGCGCGGCCAAGCTGACTTGCCGCATCTCGGCCTTCCCGGACCCGTTCATCCGCTGGAGCAAAGACGGCAAGGAGCTGCGCGACGGGCCCAAGTACCGCTACATCTTCGAGGACCCTGACGTAGTGGCACTCGTGGTGCGGGACGGCGAGCTGGCTGACCTGGGCCAGTACAGCATCAACGTAACCAATCCCTTCGGCCAGTGCTCCGACTCGGCGCGCATCCTCGTGGAAGGTACCGGCGCCCCCGGAGCAGCCCCGGTCCCAGGCGCGCGCCGCCGGGCCCAGCGCGGCCGTCTCCACTGGGCCTAACCGAGTGAGCTCAGGGTCATGGCTGAACCAGTCGGTGGAGAGTCTGGAGAGCAGAGCCTGGAGCGCAGGTCAGGGCGCCGCACCGCGCCTGCGGTGCGCACGGAGTTCTCTGCCTGGGGACTCGGCTCGATGAGGCTGAGAAATCGCTGTAGGCTGTTATCGCTCGATTCCACAGCCTCACGGTCACAGCGGGAGCCCCGGGCAGAGCCAGTGTTAAGCCCTGGTCTTCTGGCCCGGGATCCAGAGCCATTTCCACGGCCTGGAGTTGTTTCCAAGGTTCCTAGAGAATGTGTGAGCCGAGACTCTCAGGTCGTGATTGCAGAATCCCCAAACCTCTAATCAATCCTTTGCAGTAGGTGGAGCTGAGATTATCAACCCTGTTCAACAAGCCCCAGAGAGGTTAATGACCTCTCCACAATGTCGTATTTAGGAGCCAGGCATTGGCTGGGGAAGATGAACCAGGGTCCCACCTGTTTTCCAGGCCCCTCACTGGGGTGTGTCCCCCTTCCCTTTCTCTAGTCCCCGCAAAAATTCAAAAGGGACCAGATAACACCAAGGCGCGCAAAGGCACCACGGTGACGCTGACTGCAGAGATCATGGGCGAGCCTGCGCCCGACGTGGGCTGGACCAAGGACGGGGAGGACATCGAGGAGGACGACAGGCAAGGGCGGGGCCGACGATCAGGACCGCTGGGTGGGAGGGGCCCGGAGCCTGGCCAGAGTGGGGCAGAGGCTTGGAGCGCTGTAAACTGACCCGAGGCCCCACCCTGTCCTCAGGGTCTACTTCGAGATAGGCAGCAGCACCACAACACTGACTATCCGCCGAGCCACGCCTGCAGACAGCGGGAAATACGAAGTGTACGTCGAGAACAGCCTGGGCATGGACCAGAGCTTCGCTCGCGTGGACGTGGCCTGAAACAGGCCCAGGGACTTCTCCCTGGCTCCAAGCCCGGAGCGAGAGGGGCCCACCGCCCTCCTCCCTGTTTAATAAAGCAGCTCTCTGACCCCCTCGTCTGTTCTATTTTTTTAAATCATTTTTTTAATTAATTTTAATGAAAATTTACAGAGACTTTGGATTTCCATTCATTCATTGTTGCACTTTTCTCCCAGCCTACCCCTCCCCCCCAGTACACTCTTCTCTTGGAAAAGTAAAAGAAAAGTTCCCCCATTGTTTTACAATTCTTCCCCCCAGGTCCACTCCACTATGCAGACTTCGTTCTGGACTCCTGTCATGACAATAACATGACAAAAACTGTTTAAAAGAGATATGTGATTGAGTATTATTGTCGTCTGTTCTATTCTTGAGCTTTGTTCTCTAGTCCTTTTCCTCTGATCTCACACCAGCAAACACAATTATTCCAGACCCACACCACCAAGGTCATGGAATATTGGGTGCATCAAAGGAAGCCCCAGTACATCGTTTTAGAGACTGTACAATCAAAATCGGTTTTCTCCACGTTCTGACGCACCTTCAATTCTCAGTGGGACTGGCAGTGAAGTCCCTCAAGTCCCACCCACGTGTGGGTCTGTGCCAGCCTCTGTCCTCTCCTGGACTAGCCAGATCCCTCTCGTTTCTCTCCTTTGGGTGCTGACCCAGCTCCGTTTCAGGGATGCTTCAGACTACTCCAACTCTTGGGCCCCCAGCCTCGCCCTCTCAGATACCCACCTCTCGTATAGCCCCGCCCCCTGGATGTCTTGGTCACGCCCCGTCTCCGCCCACAAACCCCATGTGTCTCCAAAGGCGCGGGGAAAGCTAAAGAACTACAATTCCCGGCAGCCTCTGCGAAGGAATTCTCGCGAGTTGCGAGAAGACACGTGCGCGGAAGGAGCAAGTCGTAAACGAAGGAAGACCTGGAGTAAAGGGTGCTAATGGTAAAATGATCGCTGGTGGGGTGGCGAAGGGCATAGGAGGTGGGACACAGCCTGGAGGTCGCACTCAGAGGCCCCGCCGCCGACTCTGCATACGCCTGCACCACTGTTGATCCCGTGGCCCCTGGCTGGGTTAGAGTTTATTGAACAAAGTCGGTTTGGGGGTTCAGAGGGTTAGGAGTCAACCCTTGGAATTCAGATGCTCAGCACCAGACGTCAGTATTAGAACTTGGGGCTTGGTAGGTTTAGTGTTTGAGATTTCAGCGGACAAGTCCTTTCGATTTGGGATTCCCTAGGTCAGTTTTAGTATTAAGGCTCCAGTTTAGAGGGGGTTCAGGACCAGTGTTAATCAGATGCAGATCAGTTTTCAATACTTGGGGTTCACTCTGGGTTGAATTAATATCAGGATTTGAGGTTCAGTGTTCTGGGTTCACTACTGAGATTGAAGGTTTAACATCAAGAAGGGGGTAAAAATATTTGCAGATCAGTGAATTTGGGGCTTCTGTACTTGTGAGGTTTGAGATCTGTGGAAGCAGTGTATCCTGTTTGCTCAGTTTGTTCATGACCAGAAAGAAGTCTTTTAGGGTTCAAAATCACTGAGGGTTGAGGGTTAACTGAAATCTCAGTGGGTATTTGACTTGGGTGGGATTTTTTAACATGCCTGTCCAGGGAAGGATCCCACTGAACTTTGTTTGGGTTTACTGCCCTTGGGGAGGGATGTGTGTTGGAATTTGGGATTTGGAGTGCTTGGTCTAAGCTTGTTTTTCTCTCTTGGTATTTGAGGTTTAGGTAGCAATCACCATCATGCTCAAAGCTGTGATCCTGATTGGAGGCCCCCAAAAGGGTGAGGAATAAGGAGTAGGAGCTGAGGATGGGTGTGTATTGGAGTGGTTGGTGCTGTGCGGGCAGGGCACGAGGAGGCAGGACACCGAGTTCTCTCTCCTCTCAGGGACCCGCTTCAGGCCTTTGTCTTTTGAAGTGCCCAAACCACTGTTTCCTGTGGCAGGCGTTCCTATGATCCAGCACCACATAGAAGCCTGTGCCCAGGTAACTCCACAGGCTCCTGACCCTCCTCCCTTCCTACTCCTCTCATGTATGCCACATTTCCCCCTTTCCTAACATGCTCTCTTCCACCAGGCATAACTCCAGGGACTATCATTCAAGATGACAGTAGGAGTGGCGCCCCCTGGAGGTGTGCAGTGCAGCTGCCTTGCTTACTCTCCATCATCTAGTCTCTCATCTGGCCTTTCTTCCTGCTCAGATTTCACTCTTGTCTTTATAGTCCATGAGATCTTGACAACGATTAGGGGGACCACCTAAAGCCACAGCTTGGGAAACATTAAAGATAGCAAAGCACAGAACTCGGACCTTTGCTCACATGGAGCTCATTTCATTATTGCGATTGGTATTGAAACAGACAGGCGTGGGCTCCAAACCCAGGCTCTGTTACATTCATGCTGTGAGGCCTGGAGCAAACGCCTCAACCTCTCTGAGCCATAGTTTCTTAGTTGCCAGACGCATGGGGGTGAGTGGTAGTGCTTCCTCATGCTAATCACCCTCAGATTGACGTAATAAAAATGGAACACAGTGAATGGCTTATTTCTCAATGTAGCTTGGTACATAGAATCTTTCCAGTGTGCACCTCAGTTCAGGTGGGAAAAGCAGAAGAAAATAATAAGAAAATAGGAGCAGAGTAGTTGACCTGAAACTAAAACTGTGGTTTCTGGACCAGTATGAGAGATTTTCCCATATTCTCTCTTATCATAGGATGTTTCTTTTCCCTCCCAACCTCCTCCCTTGCCCTCAGGTGCCTGGAATGCAAGAGATTCTGCTTATTGGCTTCTACCAACCTGATGAGTCCCTCATCCGCTTTCTAGAAGGTGCCCAACAGGAGTTTAACCTTCCGATCAGGTATTTATGCACACGTGCTTGGCAGGAGTGGATGGCCCAGACCTCTTGAGTTCTCTCTAGTGCATTAAGTCAGCATTCTTAGAGCTCATCCTCGTAACTGGGAGGGTTCTTAGCTGAGTATCTGGATCCCTGAATATTCTGCATTTTCTGTGGTGCTTGGGCAGGAGTCCCCTGGCAGCAGGATCTGGTGCCCAGGCTCATGGCATCTGTTTCATCTGGCTCTGGGGTCCTTGGGGACAGGTACCTGCAGGAGTTTGCTCCCCTGGGCACTGGGGGTGGTCTGTATCATTTCCGAGACCAGATCTTGGCTGGCAGCCCCGAAGCCTTCTTCGTGCTCAATGCTGACGTCTGCTCCGATTTCCCCTTGAGTGCCATGCTGGATGCCCACAGACGCCAGCCCCACCCTTTCTTACTGCTTGGCACCACGGTGAGCCGCTGGGGATGCTGGAGGGTGTGTGTGTGTGTGTGTATGTGTGTGTGTGTGTGTGAGATCCAGAAATTCTCCTAGGACGCAAGGTGTTAGGGAGGTAGGCGCAACCCCCAGGGAGTTGGAGATGTGCTCAGAACCCCTGCCGTAATGGAGGTCTCGGTGGTCACCCGAGGCCTTTAGCTGTTCTGTGCAGGGAGGGGGAGAGCAGCTGTCACTTCTCACCCTCGCTGAAGGCCTGTCAGTGGGAGCTGCGTGCCAGGTGCTAGAGGCGAGGGAAGAAAGAGAAAACAGGCTTCGCTGCCCTGGAGCAGGCAGGTCACTGTCTCTGGTGTCTGTCTTTTCAGGCTAACAGGACACAGTCCCTCAGCTACGGCTGCATTGTTGAGAATCCGCGGACACACGAGGTGAGAGCAGAGACGGGGCTGGGTGGAGCCGGCCATTGGTGCCTTTGTACTTTCTGCCCCTTGGTCTCTGGAGAATGGCAAACCCCAGAAAGGGGCCCTCAGCCTTGATCACCTCTTCTTGGTTTACCAGTTGTCAAGTCAACTCGGTGGTGAGCGGATATCCACTGCATTTGAACTGTAGGATTTTCTCTGGCTGGGATTTTGGAAGTAGGTTGCCAGGCTTTCTGAGGCGCTGCTGGGTGCACTGGACCCTCCAGACCTCTGGTTAGCAGCCAGGAACTTCAGCTCTTTTTTTACCCTCAGAGATTGTTGTTGATGTTATGTGCCACTGAGTCGTTTGTGACTCATAGTGTACAACAGCCCTAAACCCTGCTCTATCCTGTGCCAATCTCATTGTCTCTGACACGCCCATCCCTATTACCCCAGTCAATGAATCAATCCACCTCACAGAGGGTCTTCCTCTCCTGCATCATCCCTCTACCCTCCCAAGCATGACGTCTCTCTCCAAGGACTGGTCCCTCTTTGCAACATATCCAGAATATGTCAGACAAAGCTTCAGAATCCTTGTCTCCAAGGAGCAGCCTGGCTAGGACAAACCTGTTTATTCTCCTAGCAGTCCATGGTATATTCAGTACTCTTCTCCAGCACCACAGCTCAAAGGCATCAACTCTCCTCTCAGCAAACCCAAAGTATGTGAGACAAAGCTTCACTATCTTAGCCTTTAAGGAACATTTTAGCTGCACCATCTCCCAGACATATCTGTTGTTCTTTTAGCAGTCCGTGGGATATTCAGCAGTCTTCTTCAACACCACAATCAGTTCTTCTGTCATCCTTAGTCATTGTCCAGCTCTCAGATGCATAGCAAGTGACTGAAAAGACCATAGCCTGGATCAAGTGCACCTTAGTCCTCAAATTGACACCATTGCTCCTCTGAAAGTGAGGAGGACTTGAAGCACTTGGCTGCAGCAAACAGTTGTGTGTTGTTGTTGTTGTATACTTTTAAGTCAGAACCAACCCAGAGCTGATCCTCTAGGAGATTTTCAGAAGCAGTAATCGCATGGGAGGAGATTGCCCATACTTCTCGTGGATTCAAACTGGCAGATTTGAACTGCGCACTTTTGGGATTGTGGTGCAGATTCTTACCACTAGGCCACCACACCTCCCTCAGGAAACAGCACAGCTCCACTAAAATTGTAGAGGTAGGAGCATGATAGGCAAGGCAGAAGGTCTCTGTCTCTGTCTGTGAAATTTCACCATGTACCTGACTCCTATCCAGTCAGAACACTGTCATTGAATCACTTCTGACGCACAGATTCAAATCCTTTAGCAAAGCAACACCCAGTAACTACACCACTAGACCTTCTTCTGACCCCCACATGCCACTTTATTTGTCAGCATCTTAGTCGAAAACTTACATAAGTAAACATAAACATACACACACTTGTACACATACGTATCTACATTCATGTTTTCTAAACATTGTGTTATGCATCAACTAAATGCAAGAGAAACGGCCAAAAAGGGACACATCCCCTACTTCTCAGGACCCCTCAGTCTAGAGGGCAAAAACAGAATTAAAAACAGCCATGGCAATGCTGCAGGTGCCGCAGACGAGGGGTGGTTGGAGCCCAGGGGCGCCCAGGCCTGAATGCTAACTCTGGGGCAGGTCCAGAGACTGTTTTGAAAGATGAGTTTTCCAGATGAAGAGGTGGGAGAGGGCGTTCCCGGCCCAGCGAGCAGCATGACTGGCGTGGAGCTGTGTCCCCAAGTGCAGGGAGGTGGGGCAGGGCGGGAGGAGGCCCAGTCTTGAAGGTGAAGGACAAGGGCAGTCACAGCAGGTTTGAAGCCAGGCTGTGGTGGATAGGCTCTGCATTTCAGGAAGACCCCTCTGACCTTGAGAACTCAGGATCAGAGGACCTGCCTGGAGATGGTGGCCGGGTCAGTGATTCCACATCTGCTCCTGTTCCCCTCCACCCTGTCCTCAGGTCCTGCACTATGTGGAGAAACCTAGCACCTTCGTCAGTGACATCATCAACTGTGGCATCTACCTCTTCTCCCCCGAAGCCCTGAAGCCCCTCCGGGATGTCTTCCAGCGTAACCAGCAGGACAGGCAACTGTGAGGCAGGCCCCATTACCCCAAGGACCCCCAGTTGCAGACCCCGACCCCACACTCCACAGGCTCCATCTCACCTTGCTCACCTTCCTCCTCCCTTTCCTATCTCCGCTTGTCATCTCCAGTCTGAGCCTCCCCAGTCCCTCCCCTCCTAACCTCATTCTGTCCCTCTTCCTTATCCATCCCAGTTCCTGCTCTGTCACTGCCTGCCCACTCCCCTTCTGGTCCATTTCTCTCAAGCCCTGAGTGTCCCAGAGACGTTCTTTTGGAGCAGACGGCAGGACACATCCGGGTGCACACATGCTCCGGTGCAGACACACATGTGTGCTCCCTCACGCTGAGGCCTCCCTCCCCCCGCCCCACCCTTGGAGCAGACATGGCACCCCAGAGCACAGCTGAGTCCTGAGGACGCCCTCCTGGACTGGGCCAGGGCCTGTGCCCCTCTCTGCATCTCCTGCCTGCCTTCCTGCCCCCCAGCCCATCTCCCCTCTGCAGCCTCATATCAGAGCCATCTCCTCACCCCCACCCACCACTCTGCTTTCCCCCCTGGCCTGTCTCTGTCTCTGTGGGGCTGGCATCTCTACCATCTCTCTCCCTCTCTCTCTGTGACTGTCTGCCCTCACCAGCTGCCTAGCTCTGGGGTGAGTCTATCTGTCTGTCATTCCATCCAGTGATGGGGAGGGTAGCTCTAGGGGTAAGGGCGTAGCTGGGAGGGGGATGTGAAAGTGGGGGGAAACCCAGCCCTGGTCCAGCCCCAAGACAAGGGGCAGGGACAGAGAGCAGGTACACACCTGGGGCTTGCCTGAGGTAGCACCCCTGCTTGGGAGGTGGCCTGTGTGAGGGTGGTGGGAGAGGTGACAGAGATGGGTGTCTACTTCGGGCAGGATCGAACCTGTTCTGAGGGGTGGTCAGGAGGGTGGGAGACCCCTCTCCTCTCCAAGAGTCAGACCAGGCTGGACCCCATCTAGACTTGAGCTAGTGAAAACTGTCCTTCCTCTGCCGTAGGGAGGACTCCCCGGGCCTGTGGCCGGGAGCAGGCACCATCCAGCTGGAACAGGACGTGTTCTCGGCGCTGGCCGGCCAGGGCCAGATCTATGTACACCTCACCGATGGCATCTGGAGCCAGATCAAGTCTGCAGGGTACGTGGGGGGGTGAGGGCTCTGATAGTGTTAGGATTAGAACCGAGGACAGGAGAGGCAGAATTCTGTACCTGGAAAAATGAACGATCTGAACCAGGAAGCAGATCCTGACATGTGTACAAATAATGCCTTAGGTACATAAGGGACATCAAAGCAGGGGAGGCAAGGTCTTCCACCCAGAGACTCGCTCAGAATCCAGGGTGGTGGGCACAGCCCCTGCTGGCCTCTGACTCCTCCCACTCTGTGGCCCCCAGCTCTGCCCTCTACGCCTCCCGCCTCTATCTCAGCCGATACCAGCTCACTCACCCAGAAAGGCTGGCCAAGCACACGCCGGGGGGCCCACGGATCCGAGGTACCCGCCCTGGCCCAGTGTACCCTTTGCACCCACACAGCTGCCTCTGCCCTCAAGAGCCTCCCCTCTGGCTCAGATCCCCAGGGCTGAAGTCTCAGCCTCTGCCCCCGCCAGCCTTGGATTTGGTCTGGGGTATTTGCCCCCAGGCCTTCTTTTTTGCTTCTAGGAAATGTTTACATCCATCCAACGGCTAAGGTGGCCCCCTCCGCTGTGGTGAGTGGTGGGCTCAGCCCCAGGAGGGTCAGATGGCTGTCAGGATGGAGGAGGGGTTGGCCTCTCTGCTTTGTCACAGTCAGCTGTGTGACTTCAAGCAGCTCCCTTCCCCACTGTCGGTTCTGTGGCAGGATTGTATTTGAGGGTTCCTCAGAGCCCTCCACAGATAATAGTGTGTGCTCCTCTCCACAGCTGGGCCCTAATGTCTCCGTTGGAGAGGGGGTGACTGTGGGCGAGGGTGTCCGACTCCGGGAGAGCATCGTCCTCCACGGGGCCACGCTGCAGGTAGGCACCTGGACACAGTGGGGCGGCCTGCTAGGGATCTGAGGGGCAGGCCTAGCTTTCCCCTACCCAGGACATAGAAGGATGAACCCCATGGACTTTGTATCCCATCTCTTCTGTCAGTGTTCCTGCTACTTCATCATCCTGTACCCTGTCTGCCCCCCCCCAGCTCCCCAAAAGCTCCCCTAACCCACACTGTCTGGTTTGACAGGAGCACACGTGCGTGCTGCACAGCATTGTGGGCTGGGGAAGCACCGTAGGGCGCTGGGCCCGTGTGGAGGGAACTCCCAATGACCCCAACCCCAATGACCCTCGAGCCCACATGGACAGTGAGAGTCTCTTCAAGGACGGGAAGCTACTGCCGGCCATCACCATCCTGGGTAAGGTCACTTCCCTGAGGACAGCCTCCCAGGGCCTAGGGCTGTGAGAACAAGAGAAACGGCCACAGGTGCCAGGCATACCGTCTGTGAAGAATTTATTCCAGTGCGCGCGCGCGTGTGTGTGTGTGTATGTGTGTGTGTGTGTGAGTCACAGGGGGCCGGAGGACAGATGGGCATTGAAGGGTGCCTCCCAATGGCCACGCACCCCAGCTCCCCTCCCCTGACCGCCGGGTACCATGGTCCACACTGCAGGCTGCCGTGTCCGGATCCCTGCTGAAGTGCTTATCCTGAACTCGATTGTTCTGCCACATAAGGAGCTCAGCCGCAGCTTCACCAACCAGATCATCCTATGAGGGGGGCCGCCAGGAGGCCTCCACTCCTCCGCTCACCCCTCAAGCTCCTGCCTGGCCAGCCCGGTTCCAGAAAGGCCAGGGTGGAGCTGGGCAGGAGACCCACGCGCCAGGACGCCACGTGGGTGGCCGTGGGACTCTGGCTTCCCTGCCCGCTCCCTAATAAACCCCGTGAACCTTAGAGCCAGTGCTGACTCCCGCTTGTGCCTGGGGTGGGGGTGGGGGTGGAAGGGGGGGCAGCTGAGTCAGGCCCCCCCACATTAGCATTTAAATTGGAGTCGTTGCTGCGGGCTCATGAATAATGAATCCGGAGCCCTGGTAAGTCTCCCCTCCCACCACCTCAGCCTCTTACTCTGGAGAAGGGCCTGCAGGCGCTGCAGCGTCCTGGCCCCCGCCTTCGCCCCTGCCCTGCCGCCGCCTGCCCTCCTCCGGTTCCTCTTCACTGGGCCTGAGCCAGGCCGAATGCCAGGCTTCCAGAGGCAGCGGGGAAGGACTCGGGTCAGAGATCGGGATTGGAGCCGTGGGCCCAGGAAATGCACTCCCCAGGCCCGGAGGCGGATCACCCCGCAGACTGGTCCCTGCCGAACCCCACCCCTGGCCCGCTTTCCGCTTTGCCAGCCCCATCTGCTCCCAGCCTGGCTCTTGGCAGAGTGGGGGTTCTCCCCAGCCATGGCCTCGATTGTCTGCTGCTCCCCTGGCCCGCGGGCTGGGTGGGAGCAGCACCGTCTCTCCAGAAGCACAGTTGGGGGCCCAGGGCCACCTCCCACCACCGCCTGCCCTGCCCTTCAGAGTTCTCAGCCCTCTTCTCACAATCCACAAGCCCCAGAGAAACCCACCCATCCATCATGTGCGTCCATGACCCCCGTGTGGCCCTCTTGGTGCCCCCTCCCTCTTTTCCCAGCTGTGGGTGCTCAGCGTCTTTGCCAGATGAGCTGGTAATGATCGTAATCTGCTAATTGAGAGGAATCTAATTACCCGAAGAGAATGGGGGGGCAGGGCGTGGGTGGGCGGGTGGGAGGGAGGGGGTGCTGTCAGGCAGAGGTGGCAAAGCCACAGGGTGCTGGGACCTTATTATCAGCACCCAGGCTGGTCCAGGACCCAGGCTGTCAGCTTTGTGACAGGGCATTGGGAAGAAGTGCGTTCTCAGGAGGGGCCTGGGCCAAAACTGCCCAGGCCCTCGGGATGGGTGATGACCTGTGAAGTGACCCAAGGTTGAGGAGCTCTGACCTACAAACCAGTTCCACCCAGCCCGTCCCCTCCCCTCTCCTCTCCCCCTGCTCAGATCCTCCATCTCTGTAGGGCTGGGAGGGGCCGCAGAAGCTGCTTTGGGGCTGAACTATCTTCACTGAGGAAGGGGCTGAGAAGGAAGGTCCCATCAGCGGGGCCTGGGTCCCTGCTGCCTCCTCCCCCCATTCCTGACCCTTCTGTTCCGAGTGGTTGGCAGAGGCCATGGCAGCTCCATCATAAATATGATAATTTAATTATTTTCTCAGCAAAACACCGTGAAATCCAATAAGTCTGTGTCAGGCCCTGGCCCCCGGGACCCCCTCCTAGGCCTGGTGGGGGTGGGGGTGGGTGGGAGAGGTACTGGAAGGGGAAAGGGTCAGTGTTCAGGGAGGGGGCAGTGAAGATGAGGTCTTTTCAGCATGACCCCAGACTGGGGCCAGCACTCCTGTGAGGCAGGGGAATAGCCAAGAAGGGAGGTTGTAAAAAAACCCCACTTCCTGCTGCCCTGTGGTGCCTGGGGTCCATCTCTGAGGGGACAGCCAGGGCCCAGGATACGGGAATTTAGCCCCTGGAAAAGGGACCACGCAGGGAGTGCCCCTCCACCTCAGCGACCTTGTTCACAACTTTCATTGGCCCCTTCACAGGGTGGGAGGGTGACGGCCCCCTGAAAGGGGGTCGAAGTGGGAGAACCAGGAGGGAACTGGAGTGGGATGTGGGGGGTGAGCAGGGGAGGGATGCGGGGGAGGGGTGCGCTCCTGCCATTAGTGCTTTTTTCGGATTCCATAAAAAGATTATTCTGTAAAATCAGCGAGGGGGAGCAAGCTGGGGGCCGGGGAAGAGGGGGGTAGGTCCTTGGCACCAAGCTGGATGGGGCGACAGGGGAGGAGAGCTGGGCAAAGGGACCAAGTGTGGGGAGTGATCTGGATGGACTTCAGGAGCAGGACACGGAAGGGACAGGCTGGATGGGCGGGAGGGGGTGACGGGGGGCGCTGGCCCCACTTCAGCTCGCTCCCCTCCCCTGCCCCTGGCACTTAGCAGCCATTATGGGGGAGCAGATTGCAGCCCCCTCCCCCTCTCCGGGAAGCAGGCACAGCTGGGGCCCTGCCACATCTGCCACATCAGCACGGAGCACAGCTGGGTGTGCCCGGAGCCACGCTCCCCAAAACAAAGGGGGGAGAGAGGGGGGCCAAGCAGAGCCCAAACCCAGGAGACAGACACACTGACACCTCCGCCAACAGACACACTTCTCCAGGAACAGCTACACCCACCAACACACGCTCCCTCGTGTGCAGACAGGAGAACTGACAAACACGCAATTACTCTGCCCCGCCTGCCACCCCCGCTCCCCTCCTCCCACCCCCTCGCCTCTTCCCTCTCCTCCTCTTACTCCCCACTGCCACCATGGGCCACCCCAGAACCGCCCTCTGCTGTCAGACGGAGGCTACCCTACGAGGGCAGGGGGCTGGGAGGTCATCTGTCCTCCCTCCAGGCCCACACCCCTCCCCACAAGACACTCCCCCCAGAACCCCATCTCTGGCCACAGCCTGGTGGGGGACCTGGTGCCCCTATGTTCTGGACATGTGTATATACCACTGGTCACCTCAAGAAGGCACTGTGGGCCCTTGCTCACCCGCCAGGCCACCTCCCCAGCCACTCCCTGAGTGCCCTGCCCTCAGCAGTGCACCCCTCTGCTTGGCTGTGTCACCCCCGCCTGCACAGGGCAGGCGCTCCCCCACTGGCAGAAAACACCCCCTTGGCCTGCACAGCCTCCCCAGATGATCGATGGTCCCTTCCGGCTGCGGTCACCTCTTGGCCCCCATGTCATCCCACCCCCTTGGCAGCCCTCATTTCCTGCCTCGTCTCCTTGGCTCTGATGTCTTGCCCTCCGAGGGAGGGTGCTCTCCTCCCTGTCCCCCCCACACACACACACCTCGTGTCCCACGATGCGCCACCCCCCTGGCCCCTCAGAGCTTTAATCCCTCCCGCTGTCGCGCTGCCTTATCTGCTCCCAGCAGCTTTAGCTGCTGCAAAGCCCTCTCTCCCTCCTTCCCGGGATCCTCTCCCCTCCTTCCCCGGGTGCTCTCTGCTCCCTGACCACCACCCCCACCGGCTCAGGCCACTCTGGCCTCAGCCTGGCTCCTGGTTGACCTGTGCCCCCACACCCCACCAGCCTCCTCCACCCAGCAGACTTGGGTCTGACCTGTCCAAGCCTCACAGGCTTAGTCCACTGTGTCTGGCCAGGTTCTTCCTCTGCTTTCTCTGGGCTACTTGTCTTGCTCCCCCCACCTTGTCTGAATACTCTCCATCTCTGGCCCGGGCCTCTGCCCTCAACCCCAATGACCGCTGCTTTTGCTAGGAAATAGGTACCTGAGTTGAGGCTAGTTTAAGCCGCAGGAGGTGTTGGGCTGGTCCTGCTGTGGTGAGGGTGTGCATTGTGGACCGGGGTGGGGGCAGGACCTGAAGGCTGGGTGCTAACCCTCTTCTGTTTGCCTCAGTTCACGTCTGGGACTCCCTGCCCCCCCCCCACCTCGCTGGGACTCTCATTAACCACTTCTCCTGCCTCGTCTGCAGCATAAATAACCCAGATAAATCAGCCACCACCGTCCGCCCCCCCGCCCCTCGGCCCCCGCACAGCCCGTTTGTCACCGCTGCTCGCTCACCAGCCAGGCCTGGCCCAGCCTGGGCTCCCCCACCCCATCCTTGTCCCTTCCCGCCCACGTCTGTCCCACACTGGCTTGTCCCTTTTTCTGCAGCAGGGCCATGCCTGGTACAGGTGTCTGGGCTGAGGAGAGTAATGAGGGGGTGTCCCTGGGAGCAGAAGGCTGGAGGCTCCAGGGGAATGCTGTCTAGTGTTAGTTGGTTACATTGATGAGTCTGAGGTTCACAAATGGTGGGAAGGGGCAGGTGGACTCAGCCTGGGACTGTCCCCTTCTGGGAGGCAGAGAGACACAGGCCCAGAGAACCAAAGTGTACCCCAAACTGGGGCCCTGGAAGTCTCTGGTCTCCCTTTGGGACATCTTGCCTAGATAAGACCTCCAGACTTCCATGAGCCCAAGCCATGTGCTGCCCTCATTCCTACCCCTACTCTTTACCCCATGCCCCCAATCCATGCCCATATCTCTCTAAGCTCTGCTCCCACCCCTACCATTTTCCTCCTTAGCAGGAAGGTGAGTGTGGGGTGGGACTGGGGAATGGACTCTGAACAAATCTGGGAAATGGAAACAATTAGAAGGCAGAGGAACCTAGGCTGAGCCTTTATCTGACCCCCTCACCCCCACCACACCCCAGCCCCAGGGGTCCTAATCACCTCTCCCACCTTGCTCACACCCAGTTCAACTGAGGTCAGACACACTTGACCCTGATGCTCACACCAAGGGGTAGCTGGTCCCCTGAGAGTAAGGGGGTGGGAAGTAGTGAGGACGAGGGAGCTTGGGCGCGGGGCTGAAGGTGGGGGTGGGGAAGAAGCTGGGCCGGGCCCCAGGGACCAGCTGGGCAATGAGCCGGGGAAGCAGCCGGGAGGCTAAATGAGGGAGATTATCACCCAACTGCAGCCGGGCAGAGAGGGAGGCAGGCAGGGAAGCGGGGAGAGGGAGGGGAGTGGGGACAGGGCCAGAGGCGACAGGAGGGGTGGAGAGGGATGGGGGGGGGACAGCAGAGCCTGGGGAGGAGTGAGGGGAAAGGTGGGGATGGGTCAGAAGGATGAGAGGGGATTCCCACTGAGCATAACCAGATTCCTGGGGGCCGGGGTGATTGGAGACTTGGGGACAATCGGAGACAGCTGGCTGCCAGGCAGGAAGGGGGTGCGAACAGCTAATTGCTGTTCTACTTCCGCTGTCCGGAGCTCCCCCAACCCCCAGGCTGGCTCCTCACCCATACCCAGCTACTACTCAACTTTATTCCTTTCAGAGGTCATGGGCTCCCTGCCGTTCCCACTGGAGGAAAGAATGTGTGATCTGAGCTCATGATGGAGGCCAGTACATGGGGGCAGGCTGTGACCCCGAGATCTCCAGGGCTGGTGGGGAATCTGTGCAGCATGTGGAACACTTCACGACAGCCAGGAATGTTGGAAAGAGCTTGGGGGACAGCTCCCCATTTCCTTGGCAAAGCCCCAGACCGAAGTAACCTTAAAAAAGCAATTAAATCACCTTTTTAAAAAGAAAAAAAAAAGAACCAGTAAAGAAAAATCAATACTGGGAGAAAGGGGAAGTGAGAGGAGGATAGGGGAGGAGGGGGAGGTGTGGAGAGGGCGGGGGGAGCTGGGAGGGGGCTTCCAGGGCAGCGGACACAGAGAGGGGGCTGTCTGCGCCACTTGGGCATCCCTAGGGCTAACTCAGTAGCTGCTCCAATTGCCCACCTCTCACCTTCCTCTCCACCCGAGCTGCCAGGTGCTGCCCCTGACCCCAGGGGCTCACATCCTGGCCCAGGGGGCTGACGATGATCAAAACTCACCCTCAGGCCTGTGGGAACCCAGTAGGAGGACCCCAGAGGAGACACTTTGCAGAGCAGTAGGACAACCCAGGCAGGGTGCCGCATGGTCAAGGCTGGCCTTGCGGGTGGGCCTGCTGTGTGACCTGTGACGGGGACCTGAGCTCGCCTCACAGGCAGGGTGAGCACAGGGGCTCCTTGCTCCCTTGGGAGCCACCCCAGGGTCCCTCGGGCCAGGGCTGCCACCTGGGGCCAGCCTGATGCGGGGAGGGGTGGCCACTGGGCCGTGGTGGGCGGACCTCGGGCTCTAATCCCCAGCAGCTGCTGTTCCCTCAGATCGATTCCCTTCTCACTTTTTTTTCAGCTGCTGGTTCCGCGGCTGGATCGATGAAGCCGCCTCCCCGCCCCTCCGAGCTTCCTCTCCCTGCTGCTCATTAGCGCCCCGATTAATCAGCGCCCCCCCTTCCTCCAAGGGACAACTGCTTCCTTCCCTGGAGGGTTCACACTCGCTCTGGTCCCCCAGAGCACAGCTGCACCCTCTCTCCACCCCCCCCCCAATGTAGTGAGCGCATCCTGCCCGGTCAACAGGACCACCACCCGGTCTGGGGTGGTAGTCCATAGGCCCACGTCGCCTTTGGGGCTCCCCACTTCAGCCTGCCCAGCAGCCACGCACACTGCACCTGGCTCCTTAGGACAGCACCCCCACCTGGGAAAGCCCAGCACCTCTCCCCACTGTCCCCAGTCCCCCCATTTAGGCTCCTCCTCTCCCTCCATTCCAAACCTTTTCCTCTCACATGGGGGAGCCCCCACCCCGTCTTTCCTGCTCTCTGGTCTGTTCCCCAGATACCCTCCCCAGCCTGGCAGTGCCAAGGGATTTGGAGACCTGTTAAGAAAGCAAATTAGGCACAGATGTGCAGGTCATCCAGGAGGGTGCCCTCTGTCCCTGATGCCTGAGTGACTGGGTGTGGGGTTGGGAGCCAGCCCACCTCCCTGGGCAGGACCTGGAGTCGGTGGTGCTGGACTCGCTAGGCAAGCTCTAGGGTCGCTGAGACTGAGGCCAGAGTCCCTTGTCCCCTCGCCTGTCTTGCTGACTCTCTCCTCGCCTCCTTACCCTCATTCAAACAAGTGGCTCTCCCAAGGAGTTTCTGGAAGCTGCTGTGAGAGGGCCAGTGAAGTGAGGGTGGTGGCCGGGTGCTGGAGTGGCGAGGCAGGGGGCCAGGGGCTAGGGGCTGGGGTCTGCTGACCCTCATAGGGTGTGGCCCAGAAAAGTGACCAAGAGGAGCCAAGCATTCCGAGGGTAGCACCCTTCTCGGGGTTCACCTGGGAGTGAAGCCAAGTGGGGTCCCCACACGTGGCCAGGGTGTGTAGCAGGACTTCGGGGGGCATCCTGATGAGCCCTTGGGCAGGCGTGGCCAGGGCTCCCCGGCCCGGCCCCGGGGGCTGCCCTCTCCTGGCCCCGCTCCTGCCGCCCGTGCGGCCGGTGAACGCTGTTGACATGTCCTGAATTATTAAGCGCGGGGTGGGCTCCGGAGCACATGCTGAGCGGAGCGGCTGGGGCTGGAGCGTGGCGGAGCGGCGCTCGCTCTCTCGCTCGCTCGCTCGCTCGCTCGCAGGGACACACGCAGGGGCTGACAGCTGTGCTGGTGCTGATAAGGGAAGCCACAAGGAGACGATCGAGGAGAGAGACAAGCGGCAGCAGAGGCAGCAGCGACACAGGCAGCACAGGGGCTGCAGAGCTGCTGGAAGTGGGAGTGACTCCCCCACCTCGGGCCCCCACCCCGTCCCCGTCCTCCTCCCGATTGCCCTGAGTTTAGAAGAGCGGGCCGCCGCCACCGCCGCCACCGCACCGGGGCTGCTGGCCAGGGAGGGACAAGGGGCAGGGAGGCTCCGGCCAGTCCCAGCAGCCAGGGACAGATGCCGATCGAGATTGTGTGCAAAATCAAATTTGCTGAGGAAGATGCGAAACCCAAGGAGAAGGAGGCAGGGGATGAGCAGAGCCTCCTGGGGGCTGCGAGGGGGGCCGCAGCCCCCCGGGACCTGGCCACCTTCGCCAACACCAGCACCCTGCACGGGCTGGGCCGGGCCTGCGCCCCAGGCCCCCATGGACTGCGAAGAACCCTGTGGGCCCTGGCCCTGCTCGCCTCGATGGCGGCCTTCCTGTACCAGGCGGCCGGCCTGGCCCGGGGCTACCTCACCCGGCCTCACCTGGTGGCCGTGGACCCAGCTGCCCCAGCCCCGGTGGCAGGCTTCCCGGCCGTCACCCTCTGCAACATCAACCGCTTCCGGCATTCGGCACTCAGCGACGCTGACATCTTCCACCTGGCCAATCTGACGGGGTTGCCCCCCAAAGACCGGGACGGGCACCGGGCGGCTGGCCTGCGCTACCCGGAGCCCGACATGGTAGACATCCTCAACCGCACCGGCCACCAGCTAGCCGACATGCTCAAGAGCTGCAACTTCAGTGGGCACCACTGCTCTGCTAGCAACTTCTCCGTGGTGAGTCCTGCCAGCTGGCCCGCCCGGCCCGGGGTGACCAGAGACTGGTGGGAGGGAGGGTGCGTGGGGGCATCCTCACCAGGGCTTCCCTTCCTTCCGCCACCAGAGGCTGGCCTCGTGGCTTCCCCAAGTCTGGTGTTTCCCTCTGGCTTCCCGGCCATGGAGCTGGGACTTACCCCAGCTTGCAGGGGCTCGCCCTGGCGCTGCTGGTGCTTCTCCTCTTGGTCCTGGTCCACCTGCAGTGTCAGGGCTGGGGGTCCAGGGGTCCTGCTGATCCTGCAGTGCCAGGTCTAGGGTCCTAGGGGGTCCTGGGCGTGGACCTAGGGTCTTCCAGGCTGGTCAGTGTACAGAGAGGAGTGTGCCCTCCCAACCAAGAGTGGGCCAACAGACCCCCCACCTTCCTCTTGCTCCCTTTTTCTTCTGTGGCTATAGGATCCCTCTCCCCACCAAGCAAAGAGTGATGGGCAGGGGGTGTCGAGGAGGGGGGTCTCCAGCTGGGAAAGGAGTCTGGGCTGCCCCTTGGGGAGCTGGCCCAACCGGCAGGCTAGAAAGAGACCGTGGTGGACACTCGGTGCCAGTGTCTCTTCTGTCTCTGTGGGTCTCAGCCCCCCTTCACAGGCGCCCGCACACATCCCTCTTTCATGCTGCCCCTCGACTCTCTGCTTCCAGTCCCTCCCTCTGACTGCACCCTTGCCCGTCTCCAGCTCTTACACTGAGAATCACTCATTCACTCCTGTGTGTCTAACTCACGCTGGCTGCTGCCCAGTGCATGCACACTCGAGCACACACACGCACTCAGCCTGCTCGGGAACACGGTTACTTGCACGCTGCCTCACTCACACACACTGGGTGTCACTACGCTCACGTGCATGCCTGCACACCCACACACAGCACACCCAGAGAGCTACTCATCTCTGTGCTCACATCCCAGCTGACTTCGCTGTTGAGGGTAGGGTCACACGGTGGATGCCATCTCCTCTCATGACACCCCTGTCCCCCCACCTGGGGATTGCTGGTGACAGCTGTCATACATATGTAGACAAAACACACACTTTAAGTGCTGGGGATCAAGTGTCAGCTTGGTCTGCGTGCCTGGACATACCTCCCATAATCAGACAAGACCCCTTACCCCAGTACATAAAGAAGGGGTGTGTGTGTGTGTGTGTGTGTGTGTGTGTGTGTGTGTGTGACTTGTCTATCTGTCAGGGTTCTAATCACCCCCCGCCCCACCACAGAGTATTATTTATGGAGCTGGAGACCCCTGTCCCCAGCCCAGCCGACCCCCAGCATTGTGTATGTGTTGATGGGTTTGCATCTTTGTCACCATATGCAAATATGTGAAGCCAACATGGTGCCCATTGGATGCAGCCTTCTAAGTCAGCCCCAGAAACGAGCAGTCCTTGTGCCCAACGCCAGCCTCTCCACATATCAGACCCCAGATCCTCACTTATTCACTGCCTCAGGACCACCAGGAAACTGGCCCCAACTGCGCTGCTGGCACCAATGCCTCCCCTCACTGGACCTGGGGAGTGAAGAGGTGGGGTGGGGAGAGGACTTTCAGCAAGCAGAGGCAGGAAGCGTTGGCCTCTCGTCTGGCTACACGCCCCTCTCCTAGGAAAAAGCCTTGGTCCAGGTTCCTAAGCCGGGGCTGGGGGAGTTCCCCAAGGCAGTGGCTGTGGAGTGATTACGGCGTCTAAGACCCAGTCCTACATCCTCACCCCTTGAATTGAGGGGGGCAAGCAGAGCCCAGCCTCAGCAGGTGCTGATGGGCCAGAAATCAATGGGGTCTTTGTGTCCCTGAGCAGGGATTTTGTGTCTCGGGCCCCCCATTGGGGGTGGGCAGGAAAGGAGAAGGGTGATGCAATCTCAGGGGGGTCCTCAGTGGAGGGGGCCGTGAGGGAAAGGATGATGGAGGTTGAGGGCTTCCTGCCTGGCTTGTAGGAAATGGTGAGATGTCTCAGGGATGTGGGAGCTGGGATTCCCCACATCAGGCTAGATGCCCTTCTGCATCTTGGGGCGGTTGGGAGGGGAAGGGGACATCCCTTTGGTACTCTGGGAGGAGAGAGGAAGTTTGTAGGGCTGGGTTCCGAGGGTGCACAGGAGGAAAAGTGGGGAAGGCGGTACAGGAATTTCCCAGTGGGTCTTGCTGTCCTCTCTTCAGCCCAGCCTAGCCCTCTTTCCCCTCTGCCCAGGCTTCTCTCCCGTCTGCCGAGTGCCATGCACCCTTGGACCTAGCATCCTATGTGCCAGGTCTGCTGTAGCTAGAAATTGTTGCAATCAATGGGCTGTAGCATAAAGGCCCAGGAATGGGGAGGCTGTCGTGTCTGATGGGGGTGAGACTGTCAAAGAGGTGTAGGGACGGAAGTCTGGGGTCATGATAGACTCGGTGAAAAGGAGCTGGGGTCTGTCCTGGAAGATAGGTGCCTGGGCTGGTTGGTGGGAATCTCCCAGAACCCAGCTGATGAGCTGGGCAGCAACAGCACCAGCTTTGGGGAAGGGGCTGCTACATGTTTTCTGTTGCTTTCCCTGTTTCCTCCTCCCCACTCCCCACTCTGCTGTGACCTTTCCTCTGGAATCCAAGTTAATAAATGTCACATTTTCCAGCCTATTTTTACTCCGGGTAATGCACCCTCCCCCAGTCCCCTAAGCTGCTGCTCTTGCTTCTGCTACCACTGCAATCACTCTCACCCCCACATGCTCCCTAATATCCCCTCATTCACTCCCCATCAGACAGTCAATCAATCCGCGTGACAGGGGAAGAGCCCACCGTGTGCAGAGGGACAGAATAGAGAAGGCTGAGCCCAGTCCCTGTCCTGTCCTCAAGCAGCCTACAGTCTCATGGACACTCAGCAGCATAACCAATGAGCCAAGAGTTAACCAACCCTGGCCCAAGGTGCAAGGAGGTACCTGGAGTGGCAGGAAGAACCCACGTTTGGAGAGTGTTCACTCTGGGCTGGAGAGGGCTGAGAAGGCCTAAGAGATGAAAGAGCCTGGGTGAGGTTTGGGGAGAAGGGGAGAAAGATAGAGAGAGAGAAGGCTCCTTCCCGGGGAGTGGAAGTGCCCTCTCCACCTATGTCCCCCCCACCCAGCTCACCCCAAGCTCTTCCTCACATTCTTTTCTGCCTTCCCTCCTTTCCTAGCCTCATACCAACCCACCCCCATCTGTATCTCTATCACACCTTATCAGTGGCTCTTATTTTCTCTCCATCCTGTTTCATCTCTGTTTCCGCCCCTGTGCCAATGCTCCATGCCATCCACTCTGCCCCGACCAAGAAGCTTTCTCTCAGCTTGGCCACTTGTTAGGTGCCATTGAGTTTGACTCACAGTGACCCTATGAACAACAGACCTGAACCCTGCCCGATCCTGTGTCCTCCTCATCTGTGACACTCTTGAGCCCGTTACTGCAGTCACTGTGTCAATCCACCTCATTGAGGGGCTCCCTTTCTTTCACTGACCCTCCAGGTTTTCCAGGCATAAAGTCCCCCTTTCTAAGGAATAGCCTCTCTTAGCAACACGTCCAAAGTATGAAGGACAAAGCTTCGCCATCTTTGCCTCCAAGGAGAACCTGGCTGCACTTTCTCTAAGACATATGCGTTTGTTCTTTTGGCCGTCCGAGGGATATTCGGTACCCTTCTCCAACACCAGCGTTCAAAGGCATCAATTCTTCTGTCATCCTTATTCATCTCTGTCCAGCTCTCAGAGGCACAGCAAGTGATTGAACTTAGTAGAAGACAAAAAGACCCCCTTCTCCCTATGCTTAATTTCTTTAGCTGTACAATACAAAGGCCACCCCAGAATTTAGTACCTGCTATAGACTGGACTCCGAAGTGGAGCAGCCCAGTGTGTGGGCTCTTGAACCTGGCGGTCTGGATTCAGACTTCAGCTCTACCCTTAGGTCGTGTGACTTTGAGAAAGCTCCCATGAACTTCAGTTTCTACATCTTTTACAAAGGATATTTTGTTATTTTTTAAGGGCTGCTGCACTGGTCCCTGAATGATGGCGACAGGATCAGGTTCTCATTGGCTGGCTTTTAGGTAGTAGGTTGCCTGGCCTTTCTTCCTAGTCCTTCTTAGTCTAAAAATGCCGCTGAAATCTTCTCAGTTATCATAGAACCATATTAGCCTCCGCCGGCCAACAGGTGGTGACCATACTTGAGATACACTGGCCAGGAAATGAACCCAGTCTCCCTCATAGAAGACAAAGGTGCTGTCTCTGAACCCTAAACCAAGAAATAAACACTGCTGTTGAGTCCATTCCAACTCCTGGTGACCCCACAGGACAGAGCTGAACTGCCCCAGAGTGTTTCGGAGGTTGTAAATCCTCACGGAAGCAGACTGCCAGTCCTTCTCACACGCTTTCTTTGTTGAAACAAACTGCCTCTAGGATCAGTTTGTGGGTTCAAACCACTAGGTTTTCAGTTAGCAGCCCAGTACTTAACTCACTGAACCCTGTTGTTATTTTTATGTGCCGTCGAGTTGCTTGCGACTCATAACGACTCTCTATGTACAATAGCCCTGAAACCTGCTCTGTCCTGTGCCAGACTTAGTGTCTCTGATACACCTACCCTCATTACCCCAGTCACTGAATCAATCCATCTCATCGAGGGTCTTCCTCTCTTGCACTGTTCCTTTACCCTTCCAAGCATGATGTCCCTCTCCAAGGATGGTCCCTCCTTGCAACATGCCCAAAGTGTGTCAGATGAAGCCTCAGAATCCTTGCCTCCAAGGAGCAGGCTGGTTTCACCCTCTCCAGGACGAACCTCTTTGTTCTCTTGGCAATCCTTGGTATCTTCAATACTCTTCAACAGCATCATAGCTCAAAGGCATCAATTCTTTCACTGTCATCCCTAGTCATTGTCTAGCTCTCTGATGCATAGCAAGGAGTTGTGAAGACCATGGCCTGTATCAGGCGCACCTTAGTCTCTGGACTGACATCATTGGTTTTCAGTACTCTAGAGAGATCCCTGACAGCTGACTTTCCCAATGCAATTCATCTTTTGA